CCTCATGGCTCGGCACTGCAGAGGCTGGCCGTCAGGATGTTTGCAGACGGCCGCCTAGGTCTCCTGATGGCCCCAAACTCCTGGTCCTAGAACTGGGCCTCTGGCGTCGGTCCCTAAATCCTGCAGCTGAGTGTGCCCCAGACATGGTGTCCCCGCTGTCACACCTACAGGGACAGGGCATGCCGGCAGTGGCCCTCTCTGTCCCTCTTCCAAGGCTTGGTGGGCCTGAGGACACAGAGTTCACTTCCCTGCCCCGTATGAGACCAGGGCAGCCTTGGACAAGGGCTCTGGCCAGGCCATTTGTGTGGGAGAGCCTTTCCCAAGTCCCCTAGTAGCCCCCCACCCCAAAGGCCGCCTGCTCCCCGGGCCCCAGGACCCCAGGACCCCACTGCATAGCTGGGCTACAGTACTGGGTGCAGGGAGGGGCTAGCCGGGGACAGATCAGGGTTCTGAGGAGCTGGGGGGGGGTGGGTCCCCTGAGGTGCAAGCGGTTCCGTGCAGCCTGGGTTCAAGGCTGCAGGACCCCGGAGAGCAGGCGCGGCAGCTGCTCTTTCCCGTCCAGGTGAAACGCGGAGCGGCAGGCACTGACCAGGAGGCATGGTCCCGCAGCAGGGCACCGGGTGCTGTGGGGTGAGCCTCTGCGAGCACCCTCCCACCCCGCAGGTGCAGCAGTGAGCAGGGTGCAGGGCCGCAGTGGGGGTCCCCTTTGTGTCTGCGCAGCTGCATTCCTGGAGGTTAACCCACTGTGAACAGTAGGCATGACCCTCCCTTTGTGAGAATGGAAATCACCCCGGACGCCCACCCCATCCTCCGCCAGCACCCTCTGGCCGCCCTCCCGGTGTTGTCAGCAGCGTTCCGTTATGCGGGTTTGGGTGTGATGAGGGCCACCACGCGCGGTGGGCCTGTGCTGGGGCCCCACTCTGTGAGTCCGCTGCCCGGAGAGGCCCCTTCCCTGGCTCCCAGCCAGTTCTCTGCACCACCTGCTCCCTGTCGGCCTGGTCTGAGGCCTTGCTGCTGCGCTGAGTCTGTGGAAACCTTTCTGCCCAAGTGATGTCATGTCTTCCAGTGCCTCCTTCCCTGCAACGGTGTTGGCGTGTCTCTCGTAAGCACCCCCGGACTCCCCTTGCCCGACGGACCGCTCTCTCTAGCCTCCGCGGCTTTGGGTTTTGTTTATTTTCTATATGTTTACCGAACGTAGTCAGTCTTTTCATTGCCCTGGAAGCAGGTAAGGATGTAATTTTTAAACACAACTCTGATCACACAAGAGTTACCTCATCTACCAAGATGTGTGAAAACATTTGTGTTGGAACAAAGTCTGACAACTTCGTAGTAGACGAGGCTCTGGGTCCCTTCTGCCTGAAGTCTCCCTCCCGCTTTGGATTGTTTTCACGCCCTTGGAAATGCGACGCGAGGGACCTGTGCCTGCGTAAGAGAGTGTGTTGCAGTCAGCCTGACTCGACAAAGCAGAGATTTCATGTTTCACCGGGTCAGAGCCCCTGCGCTACGGCACGGCCACCACAGTTTGTTTGTGCCAAGGCCACAAGCTGTCAATGCCAACATTTGTGACAAGCAAACAGGCAGTGGACGTGGGTGGTGGCAGCTTCCTTCCACGCAACTGCATCTGTATTTCAGGAAAGGATTGTGTCCACAGCTGATCTGTCTGCCCCAGACCTCTGCTGGGAGTGTGCCCACAGCAGCCCTTCCCGCCCTGTGTCGCCCTCTGAGGCCCCTCCTTCCCCTGGAAGTTTCATCCCCACAAGGGCCTGGATGGGCTTTGGGTTTGGACCCGTGTTCCCTTGAAGGTGCTTTTGGGTTTGCCTGGGCCATTCACGAGCCCTTGGGCAAAGTCCGTATAACCTGGGAGGGGTGTGTGGCAGGTGCGTCAGCACCATCATTTGCTAATTAAAACCTTGTTCTGTGGAGGGTTCTTGGATCCGTGATAATTGGAGAAGGTTCATTCTCAATCACAAGGGAAATCGTATGAAGCGCCATCTCCAGGACGGTGGTGTCCCTGACCCCCGGGAAGCACCTGGTGGCTGCTGTGTTGTAGAAACTTTTGCGGGGGGGGGGGGAGGGGGGCACCTGAGTGGCTCAGTCAGTTAAGCGTCCGACTTCGGCTCAGGTCATAAACCCACAGTCTGTGAGTTCGAGCCTTGCGTCGGGCTCTGTGCTACATCCCAGAGCCAGGAGCCTGCTTCAGATTCTATGTCTCCCTCTCTCTCTGCCCCTCCCCTGCTCACACTCTTTCTTTCTCTAAAATAAACATTTAAAAAATGTTTTTAATAAAAAAAAACTTGCTTCCCGGTGTGTCCTGCTGGCCTCCGACTGCATGGGCGATGCTGTGGAACGAAGAAAGTATGAAGGTCCCGGGTAGGCCCTGCAGTCCCCACCCCAGCCCCGCTCTGCCATGAGCCAACCCAGCCTTCTGCCCCCGCGGCACCACCCCAGCATAGCTGACGTGGCCCGTGTCATGATAGCAGCAGTGGGGGTGTCACCTGGGCCGGGCCAGAGATGTCGGGGCGCCCAGAACAGAGAGACCAAGTGGGGCCCATGTGGCAGTGGGCACCTAGCAGGCGGCAGGCCTGTTGCCACTGCCCCGCCAGGTCTCAGCCCTGCACGCCTGCGACCCGCTGCTTTGTCTTCAAGCAGTGCTGGGGCCCACAGATCTGGGCAGGGCGATGGTCCATCACTCCGTCCCCCTACCCGGCATTAGTCGGCGGGGAGAGGGGCGGGCTGGTTACTTTCCTTGGAAAAAAAAAAAAAGGAAGAGGCCAAGTGGGATGACCACAGCTGAGTTTAGGGAGAGGAAGGCCTCCCCAGGATCAGAGGTCTGAGGTCACAGGCTCCTCCCCTGGTTCACACCAGGTTTGTTTTGCCCATGTACTATGTGTTGTTTAACTGAAATTGCCTGCACGTAAAATTCCGATTTCATCCATAAATCTGCATTTCTAGCTTCTCTTGAGAGGCCTTTGCACTCGGGCTGTGGCCAGAGCATGAACGTCCCATTTGCCTGGACCCCCTCAGCGTCCTGGCTGGCTGCTGGCACGGTTGAGGGTAGGCCTTGTGGCCCTCTGAACAGCTCCAGAGAGACACAGAGCATGGGCTCCAGCCACGGCCGCGTCAGGGTGACCAGAGGCCAGAATGAGACTGGTTTGTGTACTTGGCAGGTTTAGGTGCCTGATGCAAGACACAGGCCCATGCAGGCGGCACCGCGTCTAGGCCCTTCCGTAGGGACCACTTCCACGCCATCCCTGGGCCCGTAAGGAGCCCCGGGGGTTCTCAGGGCTAGACGCAGCTCCCCTCTCACGTGACAGGGTCCGACCCCATGGGCCCGGGGAGCAAGCGGCTGAGACCAGGCTGGGGTTTGGAGGATGTACGGAGGCTTGCCAGGCGTCCTGTTGCCATGGGGCACATGCTGCCCGCCCTACCTTCCTCTCAGACCTCTTGGAGCTGGTGTCACACGTCCTCAGCCCACCACCGCTCCAGCCCCGACCTTCCGGCAGGAGCTTGGCCCTGGGTGGCCCATCTGTCCACGTGGCCACAGAGGGGCAGAGGCCAGCCTGCCCGGGACACTTGTCTGCTTCTCCCGGGGCCACAGTTCTGGCGGCGTGGGCCTAGGACCCAGTGAGCAGGTAGCCATGTGGAGGAGCCTCCCAGGTGTGCGTCAGCGTCCTGTCCCTTACTCTTCCCCCTGCACCTCCGGGAAACCTTCAGAAAGCCAGATGGCCTCAGGCAGCAGAGGTGGGAGAGTGGGGCAGGGGGGGTTCTGGGCTCCTGGGCTTGTGGGCAGCGGGGACATGTGCAGCCCCGGGGCCATGTCTCCCCCTTCTGGAAGCACCCCATGAGCTGGTGGCCCGTGAGCCCTGTGTGAGGGGGGCTGTGTGTGTGTGTGCCTGTGCACGCACACGCACACGCACACCCGTGCCGATATCCAGGCTGCTGGAACCTCCCCAGGGCAGCCTGGAGGCCCCCGCTGGTAAATTCAGCTGGTTTTAAAGGAGTCAGAGGGAGGAGCTGGAGAGAGAGCTCCTCTTTTGTTTTAGAAGTTTCCGGAAAGATCTGGTGCTGAGTGGGAACACAAAGGTTGTGAAGACATTGGCACTTAATGAGGCCACCTCTCTCTGGGGAGGTGGGAAGTGTGGGGGAGGGGAAGAGGGAGGGAGGGAGGTCTGCAAATGCTGGACGAGCCTGGGGCAGACTTCGCCCTTCCTGGAGGCCGAGGGGTGGTGGCCTAGTCCCTGGCCAGAGTCAGTGACCAGTGCTCATGTTCCAGGTTTTCTGGGAAAGAGGACGAGTATGTAGCTGCTGGGGTCACAGTCCCCCACCCCACTGAGGGTCTGGTTTCATTTGATATGGGGAGCGGTTTGGAGGCTGTACTTTCTAGGTGTGAGGCATCTGGGAAAATAGGGGTGTCAGGAGGCCATGGCCTTGCCGGGAGAGCAAAAGGCCAGCAGCCTGCATCTCCCCCCCACCCCCACCACATCCCGCTCAGCCTTGCTCAGCCTCGGGGGAGGCCTCGTGGCACCCAGGCCCTCCTTGGGAGGAGTTCCCAAGCAGAACCCCCCTCCCTGTGAGCAGTGTGCTCTCAGCCCAGCCTCTGCACTGGGTGTGCAGGCAGCCAGGGGGCGCCCTGGGGGGGAGCCAGCAGATGGGGCAGGGCTGGGGGGGTAGAGAGGGGAGAGGAGGAGAGGCAGGTCTCCTGCAGGGCTGGGGGGGGATGGGGCTTTCCTCTCCACCTAGAAATCTTTGTCCCCAGTGCATGAGCGCAGGTTCAGGGTCAGGAGAGAGGTCCGAGGTCAGTCAACTTTGACATGTGTAGTGGTGAGACAGTCAGGCCTGGCCCTTCCCCACGGGACGCAGGACTTCTCTCTCACCAGGCGCTGGGTCTCCTGGGCCCCTAGGAGGACAAGACTTTGAGCAGCCCCAGTTACTGGGGGCGAGGGAGGGGCTCCAGGAAGCTGAGGGGCACACTCGCAGGCTGGTTTTCCCTTGACTTTCAGGGAGGAGCTGTCGGGGGAACCGGACAGGACATGGCCCTCGAGCTGCCCGAGCTGAGCCCAGAGGAGAAGAGGGTTCTGGAGAGGAAGCTGAAGAAGGAGCGGAGGAAAGAGGAGAGGAAGCAGCTCCGGGAGAAAGGGACAGCCCTGAGCATGCCGGCCAAGCCCTCCGGGGCCCAGCTCGCCCTGGACTACCTCCGAGGGTAAGACGATCCCCTCACCCAGGGCCTGGCTAGTGTCCCCGAGGGCCTCAGGTGTCCCCGTGGCCTGAGATCCCCCCAGTGGGCGCCACCACAGAACCACCGCCACCAGTGCCCACTCGAGCCCTCAGAGCACCCGGCGGACCCTGGCTCACCCTGTCACCGCGGCACACAGAGCCTGGCACTTGCCTGAAGCTTTGTGTGAGACTCTCTAGAAGCTCCTGGAAGAGTGAGGCCCCGTGAAATCCCTGGCCTCTGTTTGCAAAGGAGCTTGTCAGGAAGGAGAGTCATGGATGCCCCCCGTTGGCCTTCCTCCTCCAGGAAGCGGGGTCACACTTCTCCCAGCCCACCCGCATGCTTCAGGCCAGCAGCGTCAGCGGCCGACATCAAGTCGGCCTTCCCTGAGAAGACCCAGTGCGTGAGTGCACCCTGTGCGCTGACTGCGCAGAGCGGTGTTCGCGCACTGCTCTGGCCGCTTCTGACCACCTGATCCCTCCAAAAACAGCTTCTGCCCTTTGGGACCCCCCCCCCCCCAGACAGCCCCGCCAGCTCAATCCCGTGTCCCCAGGCATGCTGGTCCCCTGCCCGTGGAGTCACGGCCTACGAGGCCTCCTGTGAAGTGCTCCCGTCACCCGCTGAGGCACGTGAGGTTCACTCGTGTCGTAGCAGAGTCAGAACCCCCTTTCCCTTCTGGGCCAGATGAGGCCGCGTACGGGACTTTGTGTGGATGTGTTTTCCTCGGTCTCGGGCACAGCCTCAGAGCGGGGTTCCCAGGACTCCATTGTTGGAGGAGCCACACTTTCCCACAATGGCTGCACCACGCGACCGCCCCACCAGCAAGGGCCTCGACCTCTGCATGTCCTGGCCTGTGGGGCGGGCTCTCACTAGCTCCTCACTTGTGTCCTGTATGTATGACACCACAGGTCCCCATGACCCAGGGGTCCCTGAGCTGCCCCCTCTTGGCTCCTCCATGGAGGGGTCCCCGGAAGGACTCAGTGGGGAGGGCAGAGTGCCTCCGGGACCCAGCTCCCTGAGCTCTGCCTGCTGGCCTGTGCTGGCCTGTGCTGGCCTGGAAGGCCTGGGCGTGGCTGTGCTGGGGGTGGGAGTCAGTCCTCCCTCTGGAAGCCCACCTGCCGGCTGGCCCCCCAGGAGCAGCTGGCCAGAGAGCTGAGGGCCCCGCAGCCCAGCCCGGGGTCAGAAGGGCCCTGTCTGCTGGCCCCAACCACAAGCCTTAAGGACGGGTAATTCTGCGCGCTGTGGGCTGGGGTCTCTGCACTCCTGGCTGCTGGGCACAGTAGACTGCACCTGAGCCAGCACGCCCCAGGGAGTCCGGCCCCAGGGTCGGTGCCACCTGGGCACACGCATCCCATGTGTCCTAGCGAGGAGAGAGCAAGGACCGGGGTCGGGCGCGCATGTGCTGGGAGCAGGCCTCTGGCTCAGCCCTCCAGCCCCCTCCCTAAACTCTCCCTAAACTCCCTAAACTCTGGGGTGCGGGAACATCCCCGTCCCCTGTGGCCCCCATGGCCCTGGAAGAGGCTGGGTGTCCCTGGTGTGTGTCGTGGGTCTGGAAGGTGCGCTCTGCAGGGACCCCAGCGGCGGCGTGAGAACGCTGAGGATGGCCTGGTGCAGGGGCTCAGCACCATCCATGCCGCCAGGTCCTCTGAGGTCAGATCTGAAGGCCATCCCTGGTTGGTGGCCAGAGAGGGCAGGGGCACATGGGTGGGGCCCCCCAGATCTTGAGGGCAGATGCCTGCTGCTCCCTCCACTGATGTGCAGGCGTGGAGTCCCTGGCTCAGTGACACATGCCCACAGCATGGGGCACCACCTTGGGGATGGGAGGGCCTGGGCAGGAGCCAGCCTCCTGCTTGTCATTATGGGTCCTCGAGTGAGGGAATCGTCCTCTGTGGCGTCACTTCCTAGTCCGAGAGCCCAGGTGCGTTTCTGTGAGCACTCACAGCTTCTCGCGAGAGTCACAGCTAGACACAGAGGAGGCCTCGAGGTCTGGGCTGGACAGAGCACAGGGGGACAGGCCAGCCACAGAGTGGACCCCAGACTGGACCAGGCCCCCTCTGCGGTGTAGAGCACCCCCTGGCGGTCACCCACAGGGGGACTGTCCTGTCCAGACTGCCCCCATTACCTCAGCCTGCCCTCTGCAGTCTGGTCCTCGCTTCCGGCCTCACCTCCAGCCCACACAGGCTCCCCGGCCGCCCCGAGCCTGGCATCTGTCGGTCCTGCGTGGCGGGAGCTGCACCATGTGTGTGCGCGTGGAATGGCTGCGGTGGCCTCTGCACTACACAGGAGCCCTGAGGGCAGCCCGGTCGCCTGTGGGATCTCCCACCCGTGGCCGAGGCAGACGGCCTGCTCTCCTGAGACCCCACACCTAGCAGCCGGAGCGGGAGCCACAGCCCCTCTCAGGGCACAGGGCTGGGAGACCATGCTGGTGTCTTTTCTCCTCCACGGGGGGCCCACCTGCCTGCCAGGCTGACGGGACTGTCCCCACTGTAAGTGCCTACAGCTCTGCTGCTTCCCACATGGGGTGACCGTGGGAAGTGAGGCTCCCTCCAGGCCAGCTGAGGTCCCGATTCGAGCCCGGCTGTGCCGCTGAGGCTGGTGGGAGTCTCCTCCAGGGGACCCTGCTCTCACTGAAGTGGGATGTGTCACTGCCCCACATCATAGGCAAGACCCCAGCTGGAGGCTGGGGAGCTGAAACGCAGACACAGGCTCTGTGCCACGTGTGCAGCTGCGTGGCGTCCATTGTGGTCACCACATTGCAATGGCATGTCCTGTGGCTGCTGTGTGACAGGCACGGGTCTCACTGCTGCCAGGCCCTGGGGCGGAGGGAACCAAGGGCCCTGAGCACACCTGAAACGGGCTGGTGGCCCCTCCCACCGAGCAAGCCAGACACAGCAGCCCCTCCCTCACAGGGTGCCCTGTCCTGCTGGGTGCCCCCACCAGGACTGGGTCAGGTGCTGAGTGGGATGCAGGCCCATGAGTGGGCGGCACTTCGTAACCGGGGGTGGTGGGGAGAGGGGACACGTGGCCACAGCAGCTTAGGGCCTGCCTTCCAGGGGCAAGAGACCACCACACCCCATCGCACCGGAGGACCTTTGTCCCTCGTTTCTGCCCAGGGCCTAGGCCAGGCAGCGATTCCACCTTTCTGTGAGCCGAGAGATCTCTGCCTTGCAGACCGGGCTGGACGAAATCAGCGTGCTTGCTGAATGCCGCAGGAGCACATGGCTGCTCCAGGCCATGTTGGCACTACTGGGCCGAAACGTGGGGGTTGGCACGTGTGGGGCCTGGGGACAGGTTCTTAGGGTTGGGCCTTGGTGCCTTGGGGACGGGTTGGTGGAGATAGAGACACATTCACCAGCTCAGGGGCTCCAGAGTCTGCCTGACGCTGGGGCTCCGGCTGGGCCCATGGGACACACGTATCCCTGGGTGACTGTGGGCTGGGGGCTGTGCAGCAACCTCGCCTGCTTCTGCATGTCTGGTGCTGAAGCGTCCTTCACCCGAGACCTCATGGCGCCAAGAGCCTCATTCTCTAGGAGCACTGAGGCTCAGCACCCCCTTGAGAGGGTGGGGCTCCGCCGTCACCACCAGGGAACCCACGCAGGCGCAGGGTACCCACTCCCTCGCTGTGGACTCCGGTGTCTCAGATTCTCTATCCCACGGGCCCTGCCTCTCTGGGAGGGGTCTCCAGGGTGGGACAGGAACCTGAAGAGGCGGGCTGGCTTGTCCACACCCACCGTCCCCACCTCACTCCTGTGTCATCATCCTGGTCTGGGGCCTCCTGTCTGCCTGTCGTGGGCCTGCTTAGGGCTCCTGGCCAGTGCCCTTGCTTCCTGTGGGCTCACATGGCAGGTCTGAAGCCACCGCAGCACCGCCTGGGGGCTCAGGCGACCACGAGGGCGGTTGAGCCTAAGCTAGACCAGAGCCCCGGGGTCGGGCACACAGCCCGTCCATGTTGGCGATGCTGTGGCAACGGCAGCCGGGTGGTGGAGCCCCAAGTCCCAGGCGATGGAGCTCGGCACCACCACAGCCTCCATCTGCCTGGGATGGACCCGGCAGACCCTGGGGTGCCATCATGTGCCATCTTGCAGGGCAGGGGACTTGACCCACGTGCAGGCGCTCCATGGGCCCACAGGGTCATTTGTAATTTGAGCAGGGAGAATTCATTGTAAAGACTGAGTGAGCACAGCCAAGGGCTTGCAGTGCTGGTAAGTCGGACACTCAAGGCCCAGGAGGAGCAGATCGGGGCCAGCCGCTCCCCAAGGAGGGATGAGCCCAGAGCCCACTCTCCAGGGAGAAGTCGCAGCAGCAGTGACCACAGGATATGCTGGGAAGGCTGCTCTCGGAGGCCTGGCCAGGGCTTCATGGACCATCAACTCCTGGGGTCGCTCTCTGGGATGGGGACGAAAGAGCCTTCACTCTCCTGTGTTTACATCTCTGTGGCTCCTTCTACTTGTTGTGCCATATGGCAAACAAGGCAGTTTTTGAAGACTCCCCTCCACCCACAGAGTGGGTGATAGACAATGTAAGCCAGCGCAGTCACTGGTTATCAGTGATTATCCCTCCTCTCATGGCCACAGCCCAGATTCTGCCTGCACACTCATCCCGGGGCCTGAGCCAAGTGCCACACCTGCGGGTGCAGGAGGCCGGGTTGTGATGCCCTGAAGGCACACTGCTTCGTAGGCGCTCCCAGCAGTCTCCAGGGCCAGAGCCAAGATGCGAATCCAGGCGTGCCCAGCAGGACGGGAGCAGGGGCCCCGTCTGGCTCAGGTCCTGCTCTGTGGCTGCCACGGAAGGTTCCCGAAGCCCTAGGCAGACGTGGGGTGGGGCACAGGCTCTGCTGTCCCGTGACCGTGTGTGTAAAGCTGCGCAGGAGTGAGTCTTGTGCTTTCACCTCTGCACCCTACCCCCTGAGAGCTATGGGCCCTCCCTGCTGACCCCCGTAGAGGCGCTGCAGCTGGTTGGTCACACTCACCTGGGGGCTCACCCCCTGCCCTCCTGCCCGGGCCCATGGGCTCCCCTGAGTCCCTCCACGGCAGGGGCTCTGAGCTCTTGAGAGCCTGGCCCTGTTGTCCTGGCCAGAGCATCACCCCGGGTCCTCCGACCTGCCCACAGCTGAGGTCACCTGCTTCCTCATCCTCCCACAGGCTGCAGGCCAGCCTTGTGGTCATGTCCTTGGTATGTGGGGGTTGGGTGGGGCCAGGGCACGACGTTGGGGCACCCAAACCAGCACAGCCCTCGGGGTCAGGGCTCCTGGCTCCTCGCAGCTCACTCTCCCTCCCCCTCCACACACGGCTCTTGGTTTGAAGGCTGTCCCCGCTCTGGGAAGGGAGAGGCTCTGCCGAAGCATACAGTGAAGGCTAACGCAGGACCAACTGATTTCAGAACTCATGGGTGGGTGTTTGTGCTGCCATCGTAAATCCCTGGCGTTGCCACGCCAGAAGTGCCTGTGCCACCTGGCACAGGTGTGGAGGCAGGTAGGTGGGAGTGAGGCGCCCTCCCAGCACAGGTGTGGAGGCGGGCGGGCAGAGGTGAGGCACCCTCCCAGTGCAGGTGTGGAGGCAGGGGGGCAGTGGTGAGGTGCCCTCCCGACGATGGGCCCCTGAGCCCCTTCTGCTCTGCTCCTGGTCTGCTGCCCTCCAGCAGGTGGGGGGCTGCACACACCCCGTTCGTAGACCCTTCCTACAGCTCCCGCTGGCACCTGACATACCCTGTCCTTGCTTCCCAGCTGGGCCCAGAAGCACGAGAACTGGAGGTTTCAGAAGACGAGGCAGACCTGGCTGCTGCTGCACATGTATGACAGCCACCAGGTGTGTGCATGGGGTGGGGAATGGGGCAGGGGTGTGCACATGTATGACAGCCACCAGATGTGTGCATGCAGAGGGGGCAGGGGTGTGCACAAGTATGACAGCGACCAGGTGTATGCACGGGAGGGGGGGTTAGGGCAGGGGTGTGCATGGGGGAGAGGTTAGGGCAGGTATGTGTGCCTAGAGGGGGTTAGGGGAGGGGTGTGCATGCTGGGGGTGGGTGTAGGGCAGGTGTGTGAATGGGGTGGGGGGCCAGGGGTGTGTATACTGGGGGAGGTTAGGGAAGAGGTGTGCACGGGGGGGCAGGTATGTTCATTGGGGGACAGGCGTGCACACACATACAACAGCGATCCACTGTGTGCACACTGGGGGAGGGAAGCCCGTGCACATGCAGCACAGTGACGGTCATTTGCAGGCTGAGTGGGGAGGGGGAGATGTCCCTGGAGGGGAGGAGAGGAGATGTGTGCACATGGCGGGGTTGGGGGAGGAGTGCGTTTTCCAGATGACAAAGTCTGCACGTTCGGCTGGAGTCCCCATCTCCCGGTGACCAGGATGGAAGGACCCACTGGCAGGGCCTCCCCTCCAGCAGCCAGGCCTGGCCAAGGTGATGACTAAGAAGGGCCATGGCACCCCCCCAGAACCCCTGAGGAGCCCCAGTAGCCCACAGTCCAGAGGGAGGGACTTGCTTGGGATAGGGAAACGCACTGCTGCCACCTGTTTCCCAGGCCCCTCTGCCCCTGCCGGGGCTTGTCGGGGCCAGAGACTGGGGACTGGGGGCCGGGGGCCTGGGGCCCAGGGCCTAGGCCATAGGCCTGCCTGCTTCGTGCCGGGGCTTCCCCAGGGAAGCTGCTGACGTTACGGGAATGTCGTCTTCCCAGGTACTCAGGGGTCCTGGCCCTTCCCACCTCTTGATCCTGGGGGTGGAGGGTGTGGAGGGTGTAGGAGACACCGTATCACCCCCAAAACACTGCGGTCCTTCTTCCTGCAGATGAGCCCGGCCTCACATGGGCGAGGGTCCCAGCTACAGTCACAAATGCTTGTCTGTTCCTGTCATTTCCCTTAGTCTGGAACTTTCCTCATCTTATCTGACTTTCATGACCTCGATGTGCGATGTGCGATGTGCCGGGAGAGGCCGGTTATCAGACACAGATGGGGCACGTCAACACCCTCCCTGCGTACCCGGCACAGGGAGATGATACTGACCTCCCCCAGTCACATGATTCAGGTGGCACCTGCTGGGTTCGCTCCTGCAGTAATTGTCCATGTCTATGGACCCGCTTCAGGATTCTCACCACACCACCGGCAATTCTCATCCAGGTCACTGGTCACCCTGGTGCTTGCCACATGGCACTCCTTGGTGTCCGTCCTCATCTGCGCTTATTGCTCATTGCGCTTATTGGCTGGCTTTCTGCCCTTGCAGAGCCTGGCAGCCCCATCCCCCCCCTCCCCAAGCCACAGGGCCACATCTGCGTGGATCTCCTCCCAAGCCACCACCCGCCCCCCCCGGAGCCACATCTTCGTGGATCCCCTCTCAGGCTGGCACCCTTTGCTATCTCACCAGTTGTTCTGACAAGTATAGTTTTCGTCACAAGCATGGTGGCCCCACCGCAGGAAAGTCAGGGTACCTGTGTGCATGTGACTGGGGAAGGACACACCTGAAAGCCCGACCCTGAAATTAGGCTGTGGGTGTGACAGGCTGCGGGGGTGGGGGACAGCTTTCCACACAGGCACCAGGGCTGGGCTAGCCTATGCCGCTGCAGGAGCCACAGGCCGGCAGTGTGACCCATCGAGGAGCCTGCACTGGGGAGTGACACCCCACGCTTCCTTCCCATGAGCCCCCTGTCCTTCGCAGTCCCATGGCCGATCCCCACTTGCCACAACTCAGGGCACACACCCCCTCCCCCCAGCCTGTCACCAGACTTCTGTGCCCAGAAGCCCAGGCCCAGGGGACACGCCATCCCCAGAACTCTCCGGAGCAGGCGTCATACACATGGAGCCAGTGGGCAGCTGTGTGCAGAGACCTGTGTCCCGACCACGCTGTCCCCCGACCGCCTGGGCACTCGAGGTGCTGGCATGTGTCGGCAGCATGCCGGCCACTCCCAGCCTTGGTGGGCTCGCTGCACCCCAGCAGGCCCCAGGCACCTCGGGAACCCAGGCCCTGCTTCCTGATGCCCCTGGAGACCACGTGGTCCCGCAGGGCCGGGAGGTGGGCTAGGGACACGTAATCGTGACATGGCCTGATTTTTCTGTTTTTCCTTCTGTCACTTGTGTGTTTTCTGCCATAACTAAGAGATCATGGTCTCAGCCAAGGTTGAGAAATGACCTGTATTTCCTTGTGAGGGTTTGTAGTCTCTGCTCTTATGTTTAGGCCTTTGACTTCTTCAGGGTGAACCCTGTGTGTGGTGTCAGGTTTCCGTAAATAGACTGCGCCTCTGGTGGACAGACTTCCCAGCATCCTTTGACTCATCTGTCTGCCCCGCTGGGATGTGAACCCCAGGACAACATGGGTCGTAGGCTTTCACTGACCCCACATGTCTGCGCCTGACCTTTCCAAGCTGCCTGGGCTCCCCTGGAAATGGGCATGTGCTGGGGGGACGGATGGACCGATGGGTCGATTGGTCACCGGTGACCCCCTGAGGTCAGGCTCAGGGCTCATTTGAAGTCCAGCCCAGGCGACAGGATAGATGAAAGCCCTGGGTGCTCCGGCCGGGGTGCCCAGGGTTGGGGGTAGGAGGGCAGCTGCTGAGGCCAAGAAGGGGGAAGGGCCCCCGGGAACAGTGTGTCCTGATAACGACGCCCAGCCCTTGGTTCCGCAGACACTCCCAGGCCCACATGACTCTGCAGGCTGGCAGCAGGCACAGGAGGAGACCCTGGGCCAAAGCCGGGGGTCCTTGCTGCTCCGGCCCCCACACTCTCTACAGTGGTGCCTCCTGGCCATGCCAAGCCATGCTTCCCTGAGCGGGCCCCTTCCTGTCCCGCCCATGTACCCCACACCAGAGCGCCCGGCACTCCCTGGCTGGACTGCGGCGGTGGGGTCCCTGCAGTGCCATGCCTGCTCCGTGGTCCCACCTGTGCCATCTTCCTAACGTGCCTGCCTGAAACCATGCTGGGTCTGCCCTCCACCCACCTGGGAGCCTCACCTTGAGCCCCTGAGCCAAAGTCAGAGGCCTCCCCTCATGGCAGCCACCTGCCTGTGTAGCGCGCAGGTGTGTGGGTGTGGGTGCATGTGTATACATGCGGGTGTGCACATGTGGGCACATGTGCCTGCATGTGGGTGTACACATGTGGGTATGTAGGTGTGCACGTGTGGGTGCGTGTGCATGCATGCGGGTGTGCACGTGTGGGTGCGTGTGCCTGGCTGTGCACACATGTGTATGCCCCAGTGTGCTCAGGAGTGCCTCCTTTCAGGAGTAGGGTATAAGATTTAGTTTCACAGGATGAGACAGATCCAGAAGCCTCATCCAACTGTGGGGGCAGGACCGACAAGGGAGCCGAATAACCCAGAAGCAAACGCTCGTGCTCAGGGTCCCCGGAGGTGGAGGGAGCCACGACCATACGATGGGGAAAGAATAGTCTCCGCTACTGGTGGAGCTGGGCCATCTGGATTTGCACACATCACAGAATGAAGGTGACCCCAGCTGACCTCTGTCAAAGGTCAGCTCACAGTGAATCAAGGCCCCGATGTCAGGGCTGAAACTTGAGCTCCTCGAAATGAATGTGGGAGCACCTGCCGTGACCTCAGGTCAGGCACAGGCGCTTTGAGCACAGCCACCCCAGCACAGTGACCACAGGCATGGACTGGCGGGCAGTGAGTGGCCACCCGGCCACAGAAGGGAGGAGGTGGGCACAGACCCCGATCTCACAGCTTGTGTATGACACGTGAGCTCGTCTATGTTGATAGAAGGACAGCCCGACTCTAAAGTGGACAGAGGGTGTGCGTCAACCTTTGTCTAGAGCAGACGATGCAGGCAGCCAGTGAGCACATGCAGAGGAGCTCAGTGTCATGGGCATTGAGGGGGGTAAGGTCAGAGCAGGGTGGTGCTGTGACCAAAGACAGACTGTGACCCGTGTCGCTGAGGACACTGCTGCTGTCATGTCCTAAGTAGATCATGTATCCTTATTCTCAAGGGTGTCGTGACACATTCTGAAGTCCCTTCTCTCTGCACAACCTTTATTTTGTCCAGATCGCTTTTGCTTCATTTACTCGGCCTCTGACTGAAATCAGAGACTTCCTTCCGACGTGGTGCCCCGTGAGGGCAGGAGGGGCCTGAAAATCTGGCCAGGGCTGCATGCACCCCAGGGCCCTGTCTGGGCTGACGGGCTGGGCTAGGGTCAGGGTCTCCTCTGCGGTGTCCTCAGGTTTCGCGGTAGAATCTTCCTGTCTTGCTGCAGGACACAGGCTTGGCGGCCAACCCCGGCGAAGCCCTTATGCAGAGGCGAGAGGGGCAGCGAGGGGTGGGGGAGGGTCAGCGTGTAGAGGGAGGTGGGAGCGATGTGGGGGGCTCTTCCTCTATCGAATGATCTGGGCGCCCTTGTCAAGAGCCAGCTGACGGTGGGTAGAGGGGTCCCTGCCTGGGCCGCGCTCTGTCCCCTTGCCCCGTGTGTCTGTCTCTGCCTTCACTGCCCAAGCTTTGGCCCCAGGGTGTGTGAGTCACTAACTGCTTTCTGAGCCGACCCGGCCAGCCCTCCGCTCTCTCTGGACGGGACCAGCTGGGCCCGGGGTCGGGGGCCGGGGTGATGGAGCAGGACTCGAGCTGCATCTCCCGAGACCCCCATTCTGCATCCCACAAGATTTCTGTCCTCACAAACACACCTGCTAACTGCTGACCAGGTGGCATTTTGGGAGGGGATGCGATGGGTGTGGAGCCTGAAGCCCTGGAAGAGGACCAGGAGACGGGCCTGCCCTCCCACCTCTCCCAGGCCTGTGGTCCTGCGGCAACAGCAGGTGGGAGCAGGAGTGCAGCACACGGGGCCCCACACGGTCGGCAAGCCCAAGGCTGAGATGGTGCCGAGCTCTGCAGCCTGGAGGAGGAGGCCTCTTGCACCAACAGAGTGTCATGGCCGGGAGCCCTGCCCAGGGCTCCTCGGTGTCTGCACTCCCGTGTCACCCGGCCTGGCCCCTGACGCTCCTTTCCTCTCCCCGCCCAGGTTCCCGATGAGCTTTTCTCCACCCTGCTGGCCTACCTGGAGGGCCTCAGGGGCCGGGCCCGGGAGCTGACGGTGCAGAAGGCCGAGGCCCTGATGCAGGAGTCGGACGAGGCCGGCGGCGCAGACGCCCTTCCCCTGGGGACGACCCAGCGCATTCGGCAGGTGCTGCAACTGCTGTCCTAGGGTGCCCAGCTGCCAGGTCACTGCCGCGGCCCCAAGCAGTCCCCGGCCTCTCGGTGCAGCTGGCTGCGTCTTCCCAGCGGCGGGGTCCCGGCGAGGGCAGTGGCCAGCAGGCTGGGGGACTTCCAGGTGCTGGGCTCCTGACCCACGGGAGGACAGACTGCATGATGACGGGTTTTCGCGCCCTCATGGAGGAACGGGAGACGCTGTCCTGGTCTCTCTGGGGCCCTGGGGTCCACAGGGAGGCTGCTCATCGAGGGGAAGGCCTGTTTTTCTACTGGGAACGTCTTAGCCATCAGAGCCTGCCCTTCCCTCCAGCCATGGTCCGTCCACCGTGGGGGCTGATGGTGGTCTGTCCGGTCCCAGCCACGCACTGCCTGGTCACCTGCCCGCGTTCACTGACCGTTTCCATTCGTATTTGCAATAAAACCAGCCTATGTCGGGTGTGACTCTCGTTCCATGTGATTCTTTCTCATTTACACGTCGATTGTGAAGAGCTTTTCCTGACCATGAGTGTGCGTCAGGTCGTGGCCATGGCCCACTTCTGCCCTTGCTCTGCAGGCCTGCGGCCTGCACAGACCCGGGGCACGCTCGCCCTGTGCCCAGAGGAGCATGTGTGTTGAACTCCCCAGGAGGCACCGTGGCCCACGTCCCTTCAGCAGGCCCCCTCAGCGGGCGGCTGCTGCCTTGATCACCTACGGAAGGCCTGCACCTCACGGGACTGGACATAGAGGATCGCGGGGTGCGGAGATGCAGTTTTAAAACTCACCCACTCAGGCTTTGGCGCTCTGCCCCCGGGGACGTGCATCGGCTTCTGGCGTGGGATGAGGCAGAAGTGGGGCCACGTGACCCCTGAGGCCAGGACAGAACGAACAGGCAGCTGGCACACTCGGGGTGCCTCCCCTCTTGGCTTGGTGGCTATGATGTGGGAAGCCCGTCGCATGGTCGCACGGGGACCCACCTGGGTGATGTCAACAGAGGTGAGCTATCCCCACCGAGCCCTGCTCACAATGCGGGTTTGCCAACCCTATTGCTGGGGTGCATGCAGTAGACAACCAGGACTGCATGAAGCTGCTTATATCGCTGTCATAGTGCTAACGGTGAGTCCTGGGCTCCTGGCCTGTGTGTAGACCCCTTATTCCAGAAGAAGGCCTGGGGCCTTGCTCCGGCCAGGTCTTAACAGCCGTGTTCCCCAGAGGTGTTCCCTCCCAGCGGTGTCCCCAGACTCAGTGTCTGCTGTCACTTGGGCTTCAGGTACTGTGAACCACCTGTGCTGAGGGACGCTTCTCTGTGACGGGGTCGGGCCTCAAGGTGAGGGTGCCCAGGGCCCAGGAGGGACCCAGCTGTCCAAACAGGCCTGGGCTGGTCCGTGGGACCCTCCCCTTCTCACCTGTAACCCAAACCCCTGGGTTCTGAGGGCCACACAGCCTGACCTCGCACCCAACACCGTGTGTCCTTCATACCCCATGGAAAGGGGTGATGCTCTGCCCTCCCCCTGACTGGGGCAGCTGAAATCCCCATCACCCATGCACATGCCCACATCTGGGTGAGAACGACTGGCCCAGCCCTGTCTCTGGCCCAGGTGGTTTGTAGAGCCAGAGGAGTTCTGGCCCTGAGGTACTGGCGAGATCTTAAACAGGAAGCACTTTGGAACCCCAAGTCAGCGCAGGTCTGTGGGTACATCAGCAAACCAGTGTGCTAACATCAGGGCTCCACAGATAACCTGGGGGCATCGAGCATTCAGTGTGCCAGCCTCACAGTGCCTAAGCTTCCAGGCATCTTATGAGATACATTGAGGGGCGCCTGGGTGGCTCAGTCGGTTCAGCATCCAACTTTGGCTCAGGTCATGATCTCACAGTTCGTGGGTTTGAGCCCCGCGTCGGACTCTGTGCTGACAGCTCAGAGCCTGGAACCTGCTTTGGATTCTGTGTCTCCCTCTCTTTCTACCCCTCCTGCTCATGCTCTCTCTGTCTCAAAAATAAATAAACATTAAAAAATACACTGAGAAGTAGACATACAAAGGAAGATCAGTAAGATAGAAAGAAAGGGCAGATTTTCTTTTTAAGGAATCAGGTTGGTTGATCAAGAACCATAGCTCTAGGGGCACCTGGGTGGCTTAGTCGGTTAAGCGTCCGACTTTCTCTTAGGTCATGATCTCGCGGTTCGTGGGGTCGGGCCCCGCGTCGGGCTCTGTGCTGACTGCCAGCTCAGAGCCTGGAGCCTGTTTCAGAGTCTGTGTCTCCCTCTCTCTCTGACCCTCCCCTGCTCACGCTGTCTCTCTCTCTCTCTCCTAGAAATAAATAAAACATTAAAAAAAAAAATTAAAAAAAGAACCATAGCTCTGGGCTTCCTAGCAGCCAGGTTGAAAAGGGAAATGTGATGGGTCCCAAGTCCTCATTGTCTATTAATGGAAAAGGTTGGGAGATCAGGTCATTCCCCTCACTTGAGCACAAACGCTCCCCAATACCAGATGGGAGAAGGCTCTTTCTGCCCTAAGGGCTCCTTCCAGAGTATGAAGTACTGTCTTCTGCATGGTCCCCTGCCAGAGCGAGGTGACACACACATGCCATTTGGACTCAACTGTCGATAGGCATAACTTGGTGTGGGACCAGCCTCACTTGCTGGGGGTGTCTGTCAGAGATAGCACTGCTGAGGCCCCAGGGGCAGTGACGTGGGAGAGTGTGAGCCCAGGGCCAGGCCACAGCATGGGGAGGGGGCCGTACGTGCTGAAGGTCGGCCTGTAAGTCTCTGACTCACCAAGGCCTGCATGGGGCCACTGGGCCAGGAAGCCTGACTGTGGCTACTATTTTCCAGTCGACACCCCCGAGCTAGAAACAGCCCACACGTGCTTCAGCAGGGGCACAGGACACCGAAGGGAACAGTGCTCAGAAGTAGAGGGAGGGGACGCCGATACAGGCACAGTGCTGCACTGGGGGGACCTCGGACACCAGGGCACGCTGTTGGTCCACATTCTGGAAACGGCGAGTTAGCCCACCTGGGGTGACAGAGCGGGGGGGCGGGGCTGGGCGGGCTCTGGGCGCCTTCGGGGACCGTGGCCCCACAGCGTGTGCAGGTGTCAGACACGTTCGAGGTCATCAGGGGAGCAGAGACAGAGCCTCACAGGGCAGAGCTCCCAGCAAAGCACCGTGGAAGGAAAGTGGTAAAACGGTTCGTTGTCACCTTAACGTCTGTTCTCACCGAAGTTCCCCACGTCCACCCTGGAGACCATCTGGAATGTTCCATCGAGCATGGGCACTGGAGGAACTGGACTTACGGGCGTGTCGGCACCCAAGGCCATCACCCTGCCCCACCCTCTGAGGACTTCCTCAGCCACTTCCCTGGGACTCCTGTCCCGGAAATGTGGTTCAGGCAGGTGTTTCTGTTGACCTCCCGCAGTGAGAAATGGGGACCAGCTCCCGACTGGCCCCTGGCCACAGTTCCCCTGCCGGTGCCCCCACAGAGCTGTCTAGTTACATGAGTGCTTATCCAGCAGGAATGTCCCTGACAGGTACTGCCCAGCCTGGTGGCAGGTGGGGGGCACAGGGCCAGAGGGGCTCTAAGACGTTAGGTGGCCGTGAACCAGGACCCCTGCCCTGGGAACAGACTCGGCCCCCCGTGTGTCTTCCCTGAGGGTGGGCGTCCCAGAGGCCCTGGAAGCTGGCCCCACAGCCGTGAGAGCTTCTGGCTCGGGGCCGAGAGCCGCCTGCCAGCCCCCGGGGCTCCTTCCCTCACCACCACGATGCAGGGGCGCTGCGGCCGTGGGACCATCTGCCCCCTCCTGACCCAGGTCTGGGGACCCTTGATGGACGTGTGCAGAGGCTAAGGCCATGCAGGCTGGAGGCTGAGCTCATTGGACGTGCAGCCAGCAAGAACCAGGACCCCAGACCTGGAATGTCCATCGTGGGTGAACAGACAAACACGATGTGCTCCATCCACCCATGAAATATTATTCAACCTTAAGCAGAAGGAAATTCTGGCACCTGCTCCAACATGGGTGGACCCTGCAGACACCACGGTGAGTGACGCAAGCCAGATGCAGGAGGACTCGCACTGGGACCCCCTCACACGAGGTCCCATTCGTCAGACTCAGAGTAGATGGTGGGGCCGGGTCTAGGGGAGCAGGTGGGGGTCCGTGTGTAACAAGAACAGTCTCGGTGTGGGGAGACAGAACATTCTGGAAAGGGACGGTGGGGATGGCTGCACAGCAGCTTGAATGTGCTCGGTGCCCCTGCGCTTTCCACTTAGAAGTGGTTGAGATGCTAATTTCTGTTATGCGTGTTTTACCACAAGAAAAATAAAAAGCAAAGCAGAACAAGTAGAAGATGAGGCAGAGGTGGGAGGGCGTCCCGTCAGGGCCACACCGAACAGCTCCTGGGAGCGGGCGGGCCGGTGAGTCCCCCTCGTTTGCCGAGGGGAAGGCAGCGGCAGGCCAAGTCTGCAGATCATCCATGCAGGGGCCAGGCCTGGTGTGGGGGGGCCCTGGCGGCAGCCATGACAGGGGCTTTCCTCCTGGGCCAGACAGCACGCTCGGCACGTTAGGCTTCATCAGGGTATCAAGTGTTTATTCTGTGTGCGCTCCATAAAGCAGGGGGGAGGGGCAGACATTCTCCAGACAGCCTCCGCTGGGCCCTGGCCAGTTCTCCTCAGGGGTGAGGGGAGCCTGAGAATAGGGGGCCCAGAGGTCCCCTGCAGGGGTGAGGATGGGGCCTGAGCCTCCCGAGCCCTGGACCAGGGCGGGCAAGGGGCTGGCTCAAGCCAGCCCTGCGCCCGGCCCACCTCAGATCTGCACCAGCTCGCAGGCCTGAGGGAGCCAAGGCGCAGGCAACTGGGGTCACCATGGGGTGACGTCCCACCAGAGCTGCCGCATGTCCTCCACAGAGACCCGTTTCCACCAGAGCCGCCAGCCTGTGCGCCCCCTCCACCCACCCAGGGCACTGCTCTGGAGGACTGGTCAGGGCAAGGTGGGGGGCAAGGGGGGCGGGGGGTAAGCATTGTGTTTGTAAAGCGTTTTCCACCAGATCTGCACCTTCCAACCCAGCACAAAGGGTTCTCAGATTTGGCAAAACCAAAACAATTACCCTAAACCAGCGATTACCCTATTGGATTCTTCAGAAAACAGATAAGTTACCTTGGAAAGTGGGTCGTTTTGCCGCCTGTTTGGAAGGCGCAGTTCAGTTTGGGGATCCCACCGCCCTGCTGGTGTGGGACCGTCCGGCAGGTGCCGTGGACCCAGTGCCTACAGTGGACATGGCTCCTGGAAGCGGGCTCCAGGCAGCCTTAGGTTCAGCATAAGGACAGGAGACCTTCATAACAGCCAGCTTCGCTTGTAAGCCTCACCTCTTCCCTTTTTGGGTTACCAGCCCCTCCCAGCAAGCCGGCCCCCAGCAGCCCCATCTCTTCAACCAACAGCTTCTCGAAGGGGTTTCCACAGCCATTCCAGAACGTTCTGCTTCTCTCTGAAGGATGCTGTCAGTTCACGGGCCGAGATGCACTTAGAGGAGATCCCTGTTGCTTGTACTGTGGACCCTCCACCCAGGGGTCAGCAAATCCTCGACCCCCAGCACCCAGCTCTGTCCAGAAAAAAACTGAGTCCATGCCCCTGCTCAGGGAGGGAGGGCCCACATGTGAACAGCACACCCAGAAGCTCATGTGGCCGCAGCCCTGCCCATGACGATGAAAGACTCACCCACACACCACCCACCCCGGCGTCTGAGATTCATGTGCTGCTCCATGGTCCTGGGTCAAAGCCTCTGGACTCCGCCCACAGCAGGGACCGTGTCAGTCCTTGTCTCCCGTGGGCAGTGGGGTGCCAGGCACTGGGCCCCACTTCTGCAGCTTCCCCACAACGCCACCCAGCACAGTCAGATGTTTTCATGCTCCTTTGAGACACCCAGTCTTCACGTGACGTGTGTGCCCTCCTGGGAAGGGCCCCCAGCCCCCTGCCCCTCCAGCCCAGAGAGGGGAGCTCCATGGGCTGGAGCCACACTCATTTGCTGCCACACCCAGCACCCCCCTGGCATCCCTGGTCAGCAACAGCTCCCTGCCCCAGGCCCTGCCCTAGGGGCCTCCATACATCTGGGGGTGGTGGTGGCGGGGAGCTGGCCTTGGGTGTAAGGCTGGATCATGAAGGGCCTCCTCGTCCTCCCTGCCAACTCCCACTCACCGTTCCCCCCCAAGCTGTCACCCCTGCAGGGTCCCCACGCCTTGGAGTAGCAGCTGTCCCTTGACTGGCCCATGTCCCAGGGCTCAGCATCCTGGCTCCAAGGGCAGAGAGCCCCCTGGGCACGCCCCCCAAGAGCCCCAAGAACAGGCTGGGGTCTGCAGGAGACCCAGCAGTGCGGGTTGGGGCGCAGCGCAGGGGAGCTGGGAACGCAAGTCTGAGGCTGGTCTCTGGGTGGCTGTCACCCTCCCACATGCAGGTGGCATCTCTGTGCCTGGTGGGTGCCCAGCTGAGGCTGGCCCTGTGGGGAGCCAGAGGGGGGCGGCATGGAGGGTAAGTGGGGAGAGGAGGCAGCAGGGAGCCTGGGGAGGCGTGGGGCAAGGGAAGGGGGCACTTTACCACTGGGCAATGGGGGCATCCTGATGTTCGTGGGGGGCCTAAGTGCAGACAGGCAGCGCTGATGCCCAAGGGGTCTGGGGGCAGAGGGTGGGGAGGGCGCCTGGCCGCTCCCGGGGCGATGGGAGGATACGGTGTAGAGATGCCTCAGGGTGAGGGGACTGGGAGGGGGCTGGGCCCCTGACAGAACAAGATCAGGCCCCGGTGGGGCTTTGGGGCCACGGCAAAGACCCTGGCAAGGAGCGGGGTCTGTCTGTGCACCCGTCTGTCCTGCCTCCATCATCCACACAGCGCCCCAAGCTGGGGTCTGGGGGAGTGACTCAAACCCTCCCCGGGTCTCCTTGGTCAGAGCTCGCGCACCTGGGCACTGCACAGAGGGCCTGTGCCGGTGGCCGCATGGTGAAGGCCGGGGCGGGCATGGTGTCCAGGGTGCCTGGGCTGAGGCCAGGCGGGGGCAGCAGGCGGTACCTGTGGAGGAGGCCAGCGAACAGCAGAAACAGCTCCGACCTGGCCAGGCTCTCCCCCACGCAGACGCGGCGGCCTACAAGGGAAACCGAGGCCCAGGCTCCAGGCCTGCTCTTTGCTCCTGGAGTGGGGCAGGGGTGGGGGGGACCTGAGAACAAGGTCCAGTGGGCAGGGTGCTGGCAGCTGTGGGCAGAGGGAGGCCTGACAGGCCCGGGAGCCCAAGCTTCTGAGGTCCCTGATGACCAGGCCCTGTGCCTGCCCTGCCCACTAGTCAGGGGTACCTGCAGAGAAAGGCAGGAAGGCTGCCCGCTTCACAAAGTGCCCATTGGCATCCAGGAAGTGGCCCGGGTTGAACTGGCGAGGGGTCTCCCACTGCGTCTTGTCCAGGAGCACGGAGCTCAGCAGAGGGATCACAGGTGTGCCCTGCGGGTGGGACACTGAGGCACTGCCAGCTGGGCCCACCCTGACCAACAGCAGAGAGGAGGGGGCCCTGCCCACCCTGCCGGGGACCAGGAGGGGAGCCCACCTTGGGAAGCAGGTAGCCGCCCAGCTGGGTGTCAGCCGCCAGGCACCGAGGCACGTGGGGCAGGAGGGTAATGGAGCGCTGGACCTCGTGCAGCACTGCATTGGTGTAGGGCAGCGAGCGCTGGTCCTCCAGCCGAGGGGACCGCCCAGGCCCCAGCACCTGGTCCAACTCCTCCTGCACCCGGCCTGCAGGCGAGAGGGTAGGCGCCCGCATCCCTTTGAGCCCTGGTTCCTGGGGGACCCTGCCCCCTCCCGACCGGGTGGCTGCGTGCTGGAAAGAGTCGGGCTCACCTTGCACAGCCGGGTGCTTGCCCATCAGGAGGGCAGCCCACTGCAGCGTGGCAGAGGTGGTCTCCGTGCCGGCCATGACCATGTCCAGGACACAGGCCACCATGTCGGCCTCAGCAAAGAGGCCATGGGGGTCTTCCCCCTGCAGAAGCGGGTTGGAGAGGACTCAGCCGAGGGGGGCTACATGCCCCCCCCAGCTCTGGGCTCAGGAAAGGGATGGAAGGAAAGGAGTCAGGTTAGGGAGCATCTGCTGGCTCTGGCTTTGCCACAACCGTGCAGCCACCCCTTCAGGCAGGCACTGAAAATACCCCATTTCACAGTTGGAGAGACCAAGGCTCAGGGGCCCCCAGCTAGGAGAGGGGGCAAGTGGTGCAGGGCCAGCCCCACTCCTCCTGGGATGGGGCCCCCAGATGTCCCCAGGCATATACGGCAGTGGTGCTGTCCATACCTGGGCCTGCTGGATCAGGGCGTCCACGTAGCTGTGCACGGGGCCCGCCCCAGGCATGGGGGACCGCGGCGTCCCCAGGAGGGTCCTCAGGATGGCCCGCACCTCCTCTATCTTCCGCAGGACGGGCCGGTGAAGCTGGAGGAGAGCCCCGAGCCAGGGGTAGATGTTGAACAGCTGAATGCAGAAGGCGGGGCAGCGGGTGGCAGTCAGGGTGCAGGCCCCACAGCGGGACCTCACCCTCCAGTGGGGGTGTTCCCTGTGCAGGCCCCGAGGCGCTGCTCCAGGACTCCCCGCAGACCTGCTGGGTGGGGATGCCGATGGCCACAAGAGGGCGCTGGCTCAGCTCTGCTGCTGGGACCCCAGCCCTGGGCTCCCACAGAACCCTCTGTACCAGGGCCAGTCGGCAGGTGATACACCCTGACCAGGTGGTTTCCCCACTGTGAGGGGGCTGTAATCACACCACTCTCTCCTGCCACCAAAGCCGGTAGGACAGAGAAGGGGGAGAGGGCTGCCTCTGCTGCAAGTCATCAGGCAGGATGGAGAATTTGCACACTTCAGAGCTCCAGCTGACCCCACTGCAGAAGGGAGGCCACGGCAGGTTGGACCAGCCAGCATGTGCCCTGCACAAGGTGGGGCCTCCGCAGATGTCCATGGCTCTCCTGGCTGCACCCCATCCCTGTGCACCCCCAGCACGTGAGGGATTCCTGGGTCAAATGACCCAGTGAGGGGCTGGCATGGGATTGGGAGGCCCCAGAACATTCCACTCCCACCCTCCTGGCCTCCATCCTCCAGGGGGTTCCCTGAGGAGGCCAGGTCCTCCCGCCCAGAGGACGGCAGGGGCTCCTAGGACAGAAGCAGGAGGACAGGAGACTCTGCTCAGCGCCCCCGCCTCGTGCCATGGCCGCGGGTCCATGAGGGGTTGGGACGAGTAGACCTGGGAGCTATGACAGCACTGTAAGTCTGCGCCCCACACCTAGGTGCCTGGGCCTAGTGCTGAAATGGTCACGAAATGCACAGGCCCCTGGGAGTTTGGGAAATCAGAAGAGCCAGTTCGTGTGATTTCTGTGACGCTGTGGAGGACCGATGCTGGCTGGACGGTCATGGCCTTGAGGGCTGGGGCGCGGGGGGACATGGAGCCCCACAACCAGGGAGGAAATGTGCAGCTCCATCCCCACCTTTAGCAGGTGCCTCCGTTGCTGATGGGAAGGTGGGGGAGGGGGAGGTGAAGACCCAGAGGGCACAGGGGCCTGGCCCGGGGTCACATGGCCAGTTGGTGTCAGAAACAAGACATGCCTCCGGCTTCTGCAAGGTGGTGCCCCACGCCTCTCTGGCGGGGCCAGTGCTGAGACCACACCCCAGCCCAGTCTCAATCCAGTGCTTGGCTCCCTGGCACCCACCCCGAGGAGCAGCCACCTCTCACCTGCAGGCTGGGGGTCCCCAAGAGGACCATGACCTCATCGATAAGGCTCAGCAGGGACACAAACACGGGATCCTGGTAGTCGAAGCGCCGACCAAAGAGGAGCGCGAAGATGATGTTGGAGGGGGCCCAGCCAAGCAGGGCCAGGGGGAAGGGCTGGCCTAGAGTGGGAGGGACACAGGCCTCAGGGGGTGAGGGACCAGCACCAGGGGGTGCCCGGCCCCCACTCACCTCCATAGCTGTCCAGCTGCCCCACGAGGCACCTCAACTCCTGCAGGATCTTGTCAGCCATAGGCCCCCTCCCCACGCCCAGGTCGTGGAGGGTGCGCACGGTAAACTGCCGGGCGGCCCTCCAGCGTGCCCCCGATGAGAAGAAGATGCCTGTGGCCCAACAAGTCACCGTGAGGAGGAGAGGGGAGCCTCGTCCCCCCTCGGTGCACCATGTCTCCTGCCATGTGGGCACCATGTCCCTCCCCGGGAGCCACACTGGGCACACTGTCTCCTGCTGCTCGGAGATGCAGACCCCCTCCCCAGGGGTCCAGGAACTCCCCTGCTCTGATGGCCTCCGCCCCCTCTCCACCCCACACACCACACCTACCCCCACCTCCCTGGATGAGCTGGAAGATGGCTATGGGGGGTCGGTCGGCCAGCTCTGACCCGGTGCCCACCAGGGCCTCCCTCACGGCCTCGTAGCCAGCCAGCACCACCGTCCTCTGGCGCCCCAAGTGGACAGTGAACACCGACCCGTATCGTTCTGAGAGCTGGTGGGGAAGGGCAGGAATCAGCCAGCGGCATGCCCCACCCCCTCGAGGCAAGCCGCAGCTGTGCAGGGTGGGCACACGGGACTCAGGGCCAGGGCTTCCCCAGGAGGGGCCTGTGGGGACTGGGCCAGTGCTGAGCAAGGCTGAGCAAAGGCCTAGGAGCCCAAAAGCCGGGGGGGAAGGGGAGGTGTCTCACTGGAGCAGGTCCAGGGAACAGTGTCCGAGGGGCCCCACTGAGCCCCCTACCCATCCATGGCTTTCCCTTGGTGGGAACACTGGAGAGGGCTCCCTGGAAGCCCAGGATGGGGCGGGTGGCGGGAGGGGCTGCCTGCGGGGTGGCCTGCCCAGCTTGGCCTCTGGAGGCCCCGCCCCTGTTCAGACACCCCTCCCCCCCTTCCCCCTTCCCCGGGCACTGAGGCCCAGATGGTTGGGGGAGAGGGGTTTGCCCAGGCCTCAACTGCTCAGTTTTCCCCCGCTGACCCCCATGCCCAGCCCAAGGGCACAGAACAAGAACACAGGGCTAGGCCTCTGACGCTGCTGCCTGGGGCCGTTCCCCTTCTGGGCCTTTACAGAGGGTGAAAGGAGGCCCAGATGCAAGAGGTGAGTTATAGTTAGTCACACACACTGAGGGACAGAGACCTGCCCTTCCTGTTTATACTCCCCACATGCTGGACAGTGGCCTGTGGGCCCAGCACTGGTCTGTGAACCCGGGGCCCAGGGTGCTTCCTGGAGCAGCACCCCTGAGGGGCCAGGTCCGTAGCGCCTTCTCTGTACAGGGCACAGGGGCCACCAGGCAGCCTCTAGGAGGGTTCTGGAAGCAGTCACACTTCTGGGGAAGCAGGGTGCGTGGTGGTGGGAGCCACAGCCGGGGCAGGGGTGGCTGGGCCGTCCTGGCGGAGGGTGGAGCCAGGCCTGTGCCTCTGCTTCACCCACTGGGCCAGCAGTCTCCTGGCTGCAAGGGCCGGCCAGCCTGCCCACCACCTGGGGCCAGGACTGCCCCGTCTCCAGCCCAGGGTGGGAACAGCCACACCCTGCGGGCGCCCCCCGACCTGACGGCTCACTTCTGCACTAGTCCAGGTCCCTTCTGTCGCCAGACCACTGCTTCCTGGTACGGCTCCCAGGAGCACCTGCCTCCCCCCAACCCCTCCGCCCCCAAACCTGGCTCTCCTGTAGTCACTCATCAAATGCTGCCTCCTCCAAGGAGCCCTCTTGGCCTGACGCTCCTGGCACTCTGCTCCTTGACTGACCCATTTGCTTCCCCATAGGGTGGGCTGTCTTTCTCTTCCCCAAGGCAGGTTGGGTCCTGGGGCCTACCCAGGCTGGGACAGGGACTCCTTCCCCACCGGGGGCCTGGAAAACGAGCTCCACTTCCCCTGAGGTGGGGCTAGGCTGCCCAGGCGGTCGGCCCTGACCTACCTCCATCAGGGACTGGTCCTGCTGTGACACACGCAGCAGGTGCAGGTTTCCAATGAGCGGCAGTGGGCGCGGCCCAGGGGGCCAGCGAGGGGCTGGGGAGGGGGTGCGGGTGCAGGTTTGGAGCAGGCCCCAGAGCCCCAGGAGCAGCAGGAGCCCCACAAGCAACAGGGCCATGGGGACAGCAAGCGTTGAGGCCCCAACTCCCCACCCTGTGCCTTATAGGCTGTCAGGCGCGGGGAGGGGGGGAAGGGGGGGAGGGCGTGTCGGCACCTCACCCCCCCACCCGGAGAATGTGGACCGAGCGGTTCACAAGGGACAGTCAGGCAGCTTAAAGTGATAGGCGTGCGTGGAATGTGGGGTCGCCTCTGTGGCAGGGAGCCAGGAGGCCAGGGGCCGTCTGGGGGGCCACTGTCTAGGCCTTGTGCTTAAGGCATCTCAGTCCCCTGCCTGCTGGAGAGAACACACCGTGGTGATCTCTGTGCCCCTCCCATGGCCTCTGCCCCTGGCTCAGTCACCCCCTCAGAACAGGGGATCCTGGGGCTTTGGGAGCTGGGCCTGAGCTCTGAAGGGAGCTCTGAGCCTCTCTCGGCAGGGCCCACGGGGCAGGGGCTCTGTGGAGACCCTGGGGGTGGCCCCCGGGGGTCTGCACAGCAAACGCCTCACACCCCAGGGCCTTCAGAGGCTGCCAGAGCATCCCCTGCCGTGTCTCAGATGGCAGGCTTGCCCTGGGTGACAGCCTGCTCCTTGGTGGCTTTCAAGCTCTGTCACCTGGGGCAGGAGGCACTGGCCTGGCAGGACGGGGCAGGGACCAGGTAGGGTCCTGCTGGTCGGGCTTATGAGCCCCTGTGTGTCCCTGCTGCATGAACTCTGGGCTCTCTAACCCTGGTGCCCTGGCTGGGAGGAGAGGAGGCGCCAACGTGGAAACGAGCTGTGAGGGGCGGGAGGGCTGCTGGCATCAGAAGTGGCTGGGCCTGCTCCACACCGCCTGCCCTGACATGAGGCAGCAGGAGCCCCATCCCCACACTGGGCCCCTCGCTTCAGGGCCCGGCTCCGGGGTGCCGTCCACGCCCCTCCACACACCCAGAGCCAAAGCAGCCTATAGGCCCGTACCTGCTTCCAGCCCCAGTTGGCACACGTCCTGTGATGGGGTGCTCGTTGCCTTCCCATGGACCACCCTGTTGCACAGCTGTGGGGCTTCGGTGACAGAAGATGGCTCTCCAACGGCTGTGTCTCTGAGTCATTTGGGCTGAGGGCCCGGTACCAAGGCCGCTGCTAGGTGCACTGGCTGGGGGTCCTCGCTGCCCAGGACAGTCCCCTGAATTAATTCTACAAGCATTTCTTTTTTTTTTTTTTTTAATGTTTATTTATTTCTAGGAGACAGAGAGAGAGAGAGAGAGACAGCGTGAGCAGGGGAGGGTCAGAGAGGGAGTCACAGACTGAAACAGGCTCCAGGCTCTGAGCTGGCAGTCAGCACAGAGCCTGACGCGGGGCTCGAACCCACGAACCGTGAGATCATGACCTAAGCGAAAGTCGGACGCTTAACCAACTAAGCCACCCAGGCGCCCCACTACAAGCATTTCTTGAGTACCTGTGTGTGCTATGCTCAGCCAGCACCTGGGGCCACGGAAATGGGTGGTCAGGGATCCAAACAGGGCCCCCAAACCCAGTAGAAGAGACCCATGTGACAGTGGCTGTGCCACTGAACACATCTGGGACGTTGAGGTCAGAGTTGAGTCACCAAGTGGAAGGGCATTCCAGCAGAGGGAACAGCGTGTGCAAAGCCCAGAGAAGCACCAGCGAGCAAGAAGCTGGGTGGGGGCGTGAGGCTGGAGAAACATGGCTGGAAGCAGTGGAGGCAGAAACTCGGGGTTGCTGGGGTGGGGGCTCCATCCTCCATGGCCTCCTCCTTCAGGTTGGTGAGGCCACCTGGGTGCCGCCACCCGGGACCCTATGGAGCTGGCCCAGTCCCTGCAGGGCGAGCCCGGGTGGCTGGAGGGCACTGTCTACACGGGGTCCGCACTCAGCCCGTTTCTGGCTTTTTACCTGCAAGACCTCGGAGCTGCTCCTTACCTCTGAGTAAGTCACCCCCGCTGCTCAGGAGAGGAAGAGGGGCTGGAGCTCGGGGTGTACCAGCAGTGGGGGTCAGAGCGGGGCCCCCACACACCCACCACAGAGCTGGGGATCCACCCCTTTGATTGGCCACCTGCTCAGGGGCTTCCTACCCAGCAGGGCAGGGGTGGGTGGTGAGGGGCGCAGACTTGGGATCCAGACCCTGCCCTGTGGGGATCCTGACCGTGTGGTGTTTCCTGGGGTGTAGAGTGGATGGAGCCAGTGGCGTGTGACCTCGGATGTGGCAGGCAGGACCCTGTGTGCAGGGTGAGCCCAGGCGAGGCCAGCCAGCCACCCAGAGCTTCTCAGAGCCCGGCCTGCGGGGCTGGAGCTCGGGGTTGACAGAGTCAAATCCCGTCCATGAGGACGGAACCAGGGGCTTAGCCGTGAATCTCTCCAGGCAACGTGAGTGTCAAGGGCTCCCCTACATCCAGGCCCCGAAAGAGGGAGCTGGGGGTACCGGTGGAATGCCCCAGCGTCTCTGCTTGTGGTCCTGGGGAGCCGAAGTGCCAGGCCTTCCTGGGGACAGGCTTCGGGCTGGGGCCTCAGTGAGCCCACCTGGCAGGAGTGATTTCCTGTAAGTGGAGGTAGAATTTATGCCCAGAGAAGTCCAGCCTTTTCAGGGTGTGGCCCTATGGGTTTTCACTAACTCCGAAGCCACGTGACTACCCCCACAGTCCCATCCCCTGTGCCTCCCACTGCCATCCCAGCCCTGGCCCTGTACCTGTTCCCTGTCCCCACCGGCGCGCCTGAACCAGACGTCATATCCACAGCAGCACTGGCCACAGGGCCACAGAGATCAGTGTGGACTCCCAGGGCAGCACGGGCCACAGGAAGGGGTCACAGTGCAGAACTCAGAGCCTCACCAGCCAGGGCTCAGGGTCCCAGGGAGAGCCGTGGCAGACCCTCACCTCTGCAAACGTGATGAACCTGTGTTTTTAAGCTTTAAGAGTAAATATTTGAGAATCAGAAGCCACAACCTGTGACCTGTGACCTAGCCTTGGTGTCATGCAGTTTGTCACCCTAGGTGGGGTCTTGAGGCCGCCCTAGATCCAAGGCAAGGACGGGCATGGGGGGAGGGACAAGGTTCCAGAAGAGTCTTGGATGAGGGCGTGGACAGCGCCTGTGCAGTCAGCCCGCAGGATCCGCCCCTTTCCCCTCTGGGGTGGGCTCCGGAGGCTGGGGCCCTGGGTGCGGCGGACCTTCCAGATGGTGCTGGCCAGGCCTCCGGAGGCTCCTCCCCCAGGCCTCGAGAGGCTCCTCCCCGCGGCCCCCCATCCCTGCGATCCCCACCACCCCCCTCCACCTGCTCCTTCCGTGCCCGCTTCCCTCCCCTCCCCCTGCCCCACCATGGCGCTTCCTCGGCAACTTCTAGAAAGGGCTGCTCCTCTGCCCCCCCTTCCCCCCAGCACCGGGAAGGGTCCTGCTCAGGTTCCGGGGGCCCCACGGCTTGAACCGGCCTGAGTCCCGTGGCTGTGCAAAACCACCCACGACCGGAAGTTAAAACACTAGAAATACACCCTGGCGGGCGGGCCCAGAAGTCCCACGGTGGTGTGGGCCGCCGGCTCCTTGCAGACTCTCGGGGAGGACCCAGCCTGCCCCTCTGTCCTCTGGGTGCCCCTCCTTCGCCAGCCCCAGCCCGGGGTGGTCTCACCTGTAGACCCTCCCCTTGGTTGCCGGTGGAGAGGCAGGAGGGCGTGGCATCCGTGGGCCCTTCCCCCTCCCCCGTTGAGGCCTCGCTGCAAACTGCAGTCTTTCTCCTAAGGCTACTTATCCGTTTAAATGGACGGACACGCACGCCAGGGAGTCCCACCAGCCCCCGCGCCAGGGCTTTCCGGGAAGCGAGCCCCCGCCCAACTCCTTCTCAGGCGTCCTTCCAGAGATGCTGTGGCACCGTCATATATGATGACCTTTTCGGGTTGTGTCTACACTTTTAGTTATTAATGTAGCAAACAGTTTGTGTGCAAGTGTAAGATTCGGCCAATTGAGGTCTGTAGACAGGCAGGAAGCCTTCACCTTCGCCACCTTCCAGACAGGGGACATCCCTATCTCCTGCCCTCGTCTCCCTCCCTCTGCTCAGCTGCTTTTTATGTTTGAGGTGACCACGTTAGGGGATCAGACAGCAGCCGCCTCCTCTGGGACGGCTGCCTCCTCTCCTCTCTGTTGTTCTGTCTCTGGGTCAGAAACATCCTGGGTGCGTATTTCTTTGTGTGCAGTTGGAAGGGATGCTGTAAAGTCAGCTCCTAGAACCGGGATCCCTGAGCCAAGGGGCTGCTCCTCCTGAGATTCCGGCACACAGACGTTCCCACTGTCCCACCCGCTGGCCCACACCCGTGTGGGTGGTGTCAGGAGGGGCCCTCGCCTGCCGGCCTGCATTCGGTGCCATCTCCTCCACCACTGCTCCCATGCCGAGGCTGGTGGGGGTGGGGGGAACTTCTGGGCTCCACTCTGTCCCCTCTCCTCCCTGCCCCCGCCTCCTGTCAAGGCCAGCTCACTGATTTTCTCTGACAAAGAACAACTTTCAAGCTCAACATTCCTGAGCTTCGAGGCCCCGCCCACACCTCCTGGGCTCCAGACGGGATCCTCCAACCACCTACGGGGACCTTCCTCCTCATCTCATGGCATCCAAGCCTGACCGTGCCAGTTGGGACTCTACAGGCAAAAAACAAAAACAAGAAACAAAAAAAAACCACCCCAGAGTGTCTGGAGCAGTGTCTTGGCGGAATGGCCTCCCCCAAAATTCATGTCCCTCTAGAATATCAGAATGGGACCTTATCTACAAATAGGGTCCTTGATATAATCAAGTTTAGACGACATCCTCCTGGATTAGGGCGGCCCTAAGTCCAGTGACTGGTGTCCTTATAAGAGACAGAAAGGTGGAAGACAGACACAGGGAAGAGGCCGGCCTGGTGGCCCTGGAGGCCGAGACGGAGGGTGTGGCCACAAGCCAGGACCGAGGGGCCACCAGGAGCTGGAGGCGGTGGGAAGGACCCTCCCTGAGGGCCCTCTTGGGGAGCGCCCACCTCAAGTACAGCCTTCCAGTCTCTAGAAGTGGGTGAGAACAATTTCTGGTGGTTAAGCCCCCAGTTTTTGGTGCTTTGTTACAGTGCCCCCCCCCCCCCCCCGAGACTTCTATAAGGAATGTTCAGAACAATTTCCCAGTAGGCAGGAATCAGGTGAATGGATGACACTGTGTCCCTTCATTGTGTTCTTGAAGTCACCGTCTGGCCAGTCGGCCTGAGCATTACTCAACTGTACTTGATTTACCATTTATTCCTGACCCAGCCCAGCTGCCCTCAAGCTGGGGTTCACATGGAGGAAACAGAAGAGCTGAAGGGACTGGCTTCCCTGTAAAAATTCAAATCATTTCTGCCTGGCAGAGAAGACTACCCCGAAGGTTATGGTTAATTGCTCTGTGAGGTATTAACCCGTTCTAGGTCCAGCTTAGCAGTCTGACTCTGGCGTCCTTTCCCCTCCTCTGACCGCGTGCGGATGTACCTGGGTTGGGGGCCCTTCCTGGACCCAGCTTTGCAATCTGGCCAAACTCCTCTGTCCATGCATTACATGAGACTTTGGCACATGAGCAGTTTCTATTCCCACTCGAACTATGTTTCAGCCTTTTGAAAAGTATACTTTAGCAGCAGAATTTATTAAAGTGGAAAGACCAGTGATAGTAGTTTCAGGCAAGGTTGGATCCAGCAGCTGTTCGTAGAATGTGACTTTGGACTCCTATCCATTGAGAGCAGGCTCCCAGGCCTTGCATCTGGCTGGGGGCTTCTGACCACAATAGAGGTAGTGTCCCAGCCCCAGGAGTTCACCATCTTAAAGAGGGGAGGCGGTCTCAGTCTGAGGTTGAGCAACCCCACCAAGGCCAGCCCACACTTCAAGTTCTTGCACAAAGCTAATGATTGCTGTTTTGCACCTCTGAGTTTGGGCTGTTTGTTTCACAGAGCTAGATAGCTCATACACAGGCTGTGTGACCTTGGACAAGGAATTTAACATGTCTGTGTGTCTCTGTGTGTGAGAACACTGCCTAACTGGGCTCATTCTTTACATACTACTAACTGAGGGGCTCCTGGGGGGCTCAATCGGTTAAGCATCCGACTTCGGCTCAGGTCATAATCTTGCGGTCGGTGAGTTCAAGCCCCACGTCAGGCTCTGTTCTGACAGCTCAGAGCCTGGAGCCTGCTTCAGATTCTGTGTCTCCTTCTCTCTCTGCACCTCCCCTACTCACACTCTGTCTCTCTGTCTTGAAAGTAAATAAACAGTTAAAAACAATTAAAAAAACAAATACTATTAACCGAACATCCAGGCGCGAGCCAGGCACTGTTCCAGGAATCCCATGTAAAGCAGCCTCACACGGAAGTTCCTCCTGCACTTTTCGTTATCTGTGTACCACAGATGAAAATCCCTTCCTTCCCTCCCAGCCTAACATCTCCTATAGAGCAATAATCATTTGCCAGGTACAGACATGTCAATTAAAAGCTGGCTGTCACCTCTGGGTCACCAGGCCTCCAATGCTCCATTGGTCCCTCAGGGCCACTGTACAGAGGCTGCAGGCAACCTGGGGGGTGGGGGGAGGGCTGGGCTGTCCTTTTTACTGCTAAGCAGTGTGATCTAGTCGAGTGGAAAAGTTCTATTTGCTGGGTAATAAAAGCGTCTTTTGTTCACTGCCCTGGAAACATTAATGAATAACCCAGTGCATGGCCCCTGGTTCTAGCCACATAAAACGGTCTTTTATGTGACAAGATCAAGGTGCAATTTTCCTTTTGTAGTTTTTAGTGGGTCCAGAGCACCCGGCTGAGCAGGGTCCCAGCAACTGGAATGAGCTTTCCCTGTGGACCCCCAATGGACCCCACCAATAACACCAGGCCCAGCTCCACGCTGGCACTGCACACACAGTTGAATACCACGCCAGGCACAGAGATCCCGCGCAGTGCCCTGCAGGGGGGCAGGCGTGCTGGGCACCCAACCTGCAGGAGCTGTGGATGCCTCAGGGCAGGACTTGAGGAGGGGGCTGTGAGGGCTTGCTGGCCAGGCACTCCTTGGCAGGGCCCTCAGTTGCTGGAACCTGCTTCTCCTGGCATTAGACAGAGGCATGGTGCAGGATCATGTCAGGAGCCTGGGGAGGGGGGTGGTCAGCTGGTGACCTCTGTGTTGTGAGGACCCAATTTGCTTCTCTCCAAGGCCTGGCATGTGGTTGGCACGCGGGTGGGACGGATGCATGGGAGAAGGCTGGAGCTCATGACAGAATCACAGAGCACAGGTCCGTTGGGGCGGGGGGCAGTGACCCACTTCCTCCATTCAGATGAAACCCAGATGCCGGGTTGGGGAAGAGGGGTGGCTTCCAGGGTACAGGGCTGAGTGGAGTCTCTGCCTGGGAGAGCTGGCGTCTCCACTGAGCCCTTTCACTGTTACAAGTGGCTGCAGAGCCGACCTTTTATGATGCACTTTGATTCTGTTATAGCTGGAACTGCACCACCCCACCCCTGCCATTTCATATGTTGGGAGTCCTAGCCCCCAGGACCTTAGGAGGTGACCTGTCAGGTAAACAGGGTCACTGCAGATGCAATTAGCATTGATTAAGTCATCAGGTTGGGCCCGGTGTCCTTACAAGAGGAGGACGCCTGGACACAGACACACGGGGGACGCCATGCGAGGTGAAGGCAGAGACAAGGCCCAGCGGCCCTGGAGCCCCGAAGACGGCTGCAAACCACCTGCAGACGGGGGTGGGGGGACACCTGGAGCGGGGTCTCCCCAGAAGCTCCAGGAAGGTCCAGCCCCGCCACACCTCGTGGGGGACATCTGGCCTCGAGAACCGAGAGCAATGGCGTTTCGTGGCTGGGTGTGGTACTTTGTTGTGGCGGCCCTCTCTCCTTCCTCCTTACCAGGTAAGTCCCTGCAGACACCTGGGAATGCACAGCCACCAGCACAGCCTGCAGGGCACTCGCCCTTGGGCTTCTTGTGGCCTGAAGCTGTGTGTCCGGGTAAAGCCCAGCCTCTCTGGACTTCCCTTTCCTCATAAGGACATGACGCTGGCCTCTGTCCCTGGGTTGTTGTGAGGGTCAGACTGGGAAGGATCCGTTAGACCAGCCTGGATCAGGGCCTTTCGGAGCCCCTCGGGGACGGGGGCGGGGCCTGCGATGCGCGGCGGGGCCTGATGGGGAAGGGCGGGTCCAGGGCAGCGCGGGCGGGGCCTGTGAGGGAAGAGGGACGGTTTCGGCTGCGGAGAGGGGCCGGGTCAATAATGGGAGCGGCCTTCGAGGCGGGGACGGGGCCCAGCAGCGTCGGGGGTGTTGGGAGGCTTGGGAGCCAGGGGCGGGGCCTGGGGGACGAGGGCGGGGCTTGCCGCCAGTGGCCACTCGGTGCTCGAGGTGCTCGGCACTCCCGCCGGGCGCGCTCGGCGCTCGAGCCGCCGCCCTGCGTTCGGCGCGCGTTGTACTCCGAGGCTCCGGCGCCGCCATCATGTCGACGGCTATGAATTTTGGGTCTAAGAGCTTCCAGCCGCGGCCCCCGGACAAGGGCAGCTTCCCGCTGGATCACTTCGGTGAGCGGCGGGAAGCCTCCGGGCTCCCACGCCGGGTCTGGGGTCGTGAGTCTTCTCCGGTGGCGCCGTGCGGCCCCGAGGGCGCTGGCGTCCGCACGCGGTGCAGGTGGGGAAACTGAGGCTCGCCGCGGCCATCCCACCCCCACCGAGGGCGGGCCTGCGGGACCAGGGGTGGCAGTTTGCGGAGGACGCTCCGAGGAAGAGCGTCGGAGCGGCTCGAGAGAGCCAGGCGCCCTGGGGACCCGCTCCCTGCCTCGCACAGTTGCGGCCACAAATCTGGGTTTGGGGTGAGCCTCTGTGCGAGTCGAGGCTTTGAAAGCGGGTACGCAGATTTTCTCTTACCCGACGCTTTCCCCTGCGGTGTCCCAAGCACGCACCGGAGGGGAGGTCGTCCCGCCGTGAAGCACGCGGGAGGCTCGTCCTTTCCCGCTCGGGCGTGCAGAAGGCTGGTTCTGGAAGGAGTGCGGCCGGTGCGCTTCCTGTGACCGCATCGTGTGCTCACTTGAAAGAGATGCTGTTTCCCTTTTCGTTCCAGGCGAATGTAAAAGCTTTAAGGAGAAGTTCATGAAGTGTCTCCGCGACAATCGATTCGAAAATGCCTTGTGCAGAAATGAGTCGAAGGACTACTTAGAATGCAGAATGGAAAGGCAAGTACATGCTGGCAGTTATGACTTCCGAACCCTCCAGGACTCCCGTGGAAACGGTTTTTTCCCCAAGAGGTCATTGCAGCTGGCCTCATTCGGTCCCCAGGCCGTGCCTTTGTCTCTCAGGACGGTAGGATAGCTCGCCAGGGGAGAGGAGGCCTGCGGGTAGTCATGGGGACCCTGCCTTGAGTGAGTGCATCTTACGGGACTGCATTCCCCTGAGTGTTTTCTGTCCAAATTTCAGAGCTGCTGACCTGTCATTAAGGTTTCAGAACGTACATCATGAACATGCTGATGGAGTGAAAAGATTTGCAGGTTGTGGGTATACGGTTTTTTCCTGTCACATTCTCAGACCATAAAAATACTGTTTTGTTCCTTGTAAGCTTAGCAGTGCTTGAAATGTGACAGGGGAGACAATGGGCCGTTTCAGAAACGATGAAAGATGGAGGATTTGCCCTGTCTTGACCGAATTTACCAGCGCTCACTTTTAAGTAAAACAGAAATGTTTCTGAGTTGAGATTTTCTTAAGAGCTATTCTAATCCCTAACGGGGAAAAGCATACAGCGTATAATTACATGGTGGGGGTGGGAACTTTTATTTCTGCTTTTCGAGCCCTTCATTAGCTCAGCAAGGAATCAAGTCTTCACCCGGCTTTGTCTGAAGATGAGGTGACATAAACCAATACAGTCAGAGCCCCATTGCCATTTTCCCATAACAAACTCTGATATTTCCATCAGGGCACAAATGTTTGTGTTTTTCAGGCCCAGAGGTGCATTGAGGGCTATCGTGGACACATGGGACCTTGGAGTGGACCTTTGTGGGAGTGTGGCCCTCAAGTGAGGCCCTTGCTCTGTCTCCTGAGTCATTCAGGGCCACAGCAGTTTAGATTTGACAATGGGCCACCCTAGGCCAGCTCTCGCCATCTTTAAATGGTACATTGTTGGCATCCATGTGTTTAACATTCAGTTTTGAGAAAAAGAGACAGAGTCTGAGTGGGGGAGGAGCAGAGAGAGAGGGAGACACAGAATCTGAAGCAGCTCCAGGCTCTGAGCTGTCAGCACAGAGCCCGACACGGGGCTCAAACCCACAAACTGAGATCATGACCTGAGCCGAAGTGGGACATTTAACCGACTGATCCCCCCCCAGGCGCCCTTAAATTACTGTCTTTTAAATTGATATACTGTTCAAAAACTAAGTGAAATTCTTCTTGGTGCTGCCACGCTTTGGAGATAGTGCAAATGTTCTGACCATGTGTGAGGGTGTGAGCGTGTCGCCAACCCTGTGCCCAGCAGTGTGGGCGGCCGCGCCTGCTGGGAGTTGCTCCAGAGGGTTCTGTCTTTCCTCCCTATTTGGCCCTGGGAGTGGGCTGCCAGCTCTCCACGAGGCCATGCCTTGCTCGGCATGGCTTCTGGAGCCCAGCCTGCCCGGAGGCCTGCTGAGGTCAGTGGGGACGGGGGTGCAGCTGGCCTCTCCGTGGGTTCCATCCTTTCAGGTGGCTTCTGGTTGTTCCGGTGACGTGAGGGTCATTGTAGGTGGTGGGCTTGTTTCTGGCTTGGTCGGTAGTTTTGGCCGTAGGTTTTTGGATGGCTTTCGATTCAAGTCCACGACTGTCCAGACGCAGGATTGAGATTCTGCACGTTTGCTTCCCCCCCCCCCCCCGCCTTTTTATAAACCTTTTTTATTCCTTTTTCCTTTTGTGCTGAAATCTGAGATCTTATTTACCACCATGTATGTCTGTATGCATCTTTTTTTTTTTTAATGTTAATTTATTTTTAAAAGGGGGCCAGAGGGGCAGAGAGAGAGGGGACAGAGGATCCGAAGCGGGCTCTGCACTAAGAGCCCAATGTGGGGCTTAAACTCCTGAACTGTGAGACCATGACCTGAGCCAAAGTCGGACACTCAACCGACTGAGCTAGCAGGAGCACCCCACCCCCACCCCCTTGTCTGCATGTTTTTAAAAAAGTGGGCCACAGTGAGTTTTTAGAGTTGCCCCTTGAGTGCTCGGGCCCTCTTACCCCGACGTGGAAGTGTGTGCTTGGTTGGGGTGTGGGTCACAATCTCATGGGGAGAACTGTTAAATCGGGGGTGACTTTGTTGGCAAAAAAGATAGCAAATACATGATGATCTGTGATCTCCAGCCTCTGTGATGCTTCGAGTTTCTGCCTGTGGGTGGGCATCGGGGTCTGTGCGCCCGTCTGGGGGTGCAGGCCAGGCCTCCTGGCTGGGCTGGAGGAGGCCAAGTGCATGGTCCTAGGAGAGCCTTGGGCCCTAACGATCTGCACTGTCCCCTTCTGCTGAAGGGGAGACATTAAGATCATCCTTTTGGCTTTAGAACCTACTGACCGTTGTACGTGTTGTGTTTTGTGTCCTTGCCACGGAGCTGGCCTTGATGAAGACTCACACGTTTATAGAAAGGGCATCTTGAACCACATCTCATTTAGCTGGTAGTGTTTTCCTTCTTGCTCCCTGCTTGTGCTGCTGAACACACTGGTCCTTCCCGTCGTGACGGCATGTCTTGAGGAGCATCGCTCGCTCCCTGTGCTCCCGCCGCCGCCAGCTCACTCCTGTGCATCCTGGGCGCCACCAGCACACCCATGTTCTGCAGTGAAAAGCCTGATACGGGTCCCATGGGCTGTGCTCTTTGTGGGCACTGCAGGCAGAATCATTGTGGGCGCTGCAGGCAGAATCATTGTGGGTGCTGCAGGCAGAATCATTCCTGCCTTTCCAGCTTCTAGAGGCGCCCATGTCCCTCGGCTGGTGGCCCCGCCGTGTCTAGAAGCCAGCGATGCTGTGTCTCTGGCCCATCCCCCTCCCATCCTGACTGGAGCCGGCACGGGCTCTCTGATGAAGGGGTCCTGTGACATGGCACGGTCCGCCTGGGGACTCCGAGGCCATCTTCCCCAGCTGCAGGCGATCAGCGGCGTATTCCTGCCGTGGCCTGATCCCCCTCTGCCATGTAAGGTGCTCCTCGCGGGCCTCAGCGGTGGGGGCGTCTTCTGGGGCCCGTTCTGCTGGCACAGTGAGATCTGAGGTCCACAGTAAGGACTATTGGCTGGATGTGGTGAAAATTGATCCTTGTTTTCCTCACTTCGTTTAAGGAACTGCATGTGAGTTCCGCTGCCATAGGATTCCGTCTGCCAACAGCCTAACTGACTGGTTTGCGATTCTGGGGGCGTGTCCCTGAGGGGGAGTGACGCCTCTGGGTTTGGTGGCCTGGAGCCGCTGCCAGCTCATGGGCTCTGGCCATGCCGTGGCAGGGTAGCGGGTGGGATGGGAAGGTGCTGCCTATTGGCGGCCGTGACAGGAACAGGCCTGCACATGGAGCCGTCCGCTAGGCCGTGTGCACCGGCCTTCAGGGCCTCCTGTCAGCTTGTCACTGGCCGGCACAGCGATATCAGAGGTGGGGGCTCTGGCAGCATCCGCCCGGCCCCAGGCATTTGCTATTGCTCACAGTGGCCTTGTTGCCCCGTCCCCTCCCCCATTCCCCCGCTTCCCAGGCCACACTCTCCCCTGGAACTTCGTGATTTTCCTCCGAGGCCACACACTTCGTGATTTTCCACACGAGAGCTTCCGGGCACCCAAGCTCAGGGCACTGTGTGTGTGGGTCTGCGTGTGTCTGGTGTCTGGTCCTATACTGCCCGAGGTCAGCATGCACACTCCGTGGATGCCTGCAGTCCCTCACAGAGTGCGTGCTGGAGGCACCTGACAACTGTGGGGGTGCTGGAGCCCGCCGGTCTTACCGCGGCTGAGTCATGGACAAAGGTGCATTGCTCCCCTGGGAGGCTGGAGCAGGGCCACAGAGGACATGGCGCCCGGAGAGCGCTCCTCAGGGCCTGGCTGGCTTGTCCACCCCTTCTGGGGACACAGATAACGCAGTCAGTCTGATCTACAAGTGGACTTTCTACCTATGAACGGATTCCAGCTTCTTGTAATGGAAATTGCTGAGCACACCTGTGTGCAGGGATGACATCCCCGTGGTGCGGTGCCCGCTCCCCCTCCTGCCCCCAGTGCCGGCACCCTGAGGGCACGTGCCCAGAACACCTAGTTTCGGTCTTGGGCTGCCTGGACAGCCCTTGTGACACTCAGGTAGAGGTCGTCTGCCAGGTTTGGTGTTTCTGCAGGAGGGTGGCCGGCGCACCCCAGGGCCCCCGCGTCCAACTGGGTGACTCACAGCATCCTTGGTTCCAGCGTGCTCGCAGAAGCCTGGCTACTGCTGGCCTGCCAGGCTCGCAGGGGTTCGTGAGCTCAGCGGTGTGAGGGGGACATGGCGTCAAGTGATGGTGGCTGGCGCTGCGGGCGTCCCTTTGCCGGCTGAGCCTGGTGGCTCCTGCAAGGATGCTGGGCTCCCACCAGCAAGCAGGATGGACAGATGGCCTCTGAGAGTGGGGCTCGTCCCCTTCCCTCACCCCTTGCCTAAAACAAAACAGGATGAAAGCCGGGCCCTCCTGCCCTGGAGTGTGGGCAGAAAGAGGCCAGACGGGGTAGGCACGAGCCCAGCAGGTGCTCCCTGCGGGACATCTCGGTCTTCATGGTCCAGACTTACGTGGACGCGGTGGGGGGCCAGCACACGGGGCACAGGGAGGGAGAGGGACAGGACACAGCTGCCGGCCAGCTGCGGGGCGTGGGGCCTGGGGCAGCAGTGAGAGGAGATGGAGCCGGTGCACCACGTGTCCTGGTGCTTCTGGGTCACAAGTGACGCTAACATGTGCAGTGACGCTTGAACAGCAGGGGTGTGAACGGAGCGGGTCTGCTTACCATGCAGACTTTTTGATACATGCGGGACAGTTCGTAAACCTGTTCCTTCCTTATGATTCTCTTACTGATGCTGTTTTTGCCCGGCTCACCTGTTTGTAAGATGCAGCCACGAGACACAGTACGCAAGGTGCACATTTCCGCTGAGGCTTCGGGGCAGCAGTGGGCTGTTAGGAGTCAGAACCGGGTTTTCAACTGTGCAGGTGGTTGGTGCCCCTGACCCATGTCTTGTTCAGGGGTCCCTTTACCAAGTAAAGTCTGTCCTGTCCCCGCCCGCCTGTCTGGTGTGTCTTCCCAGTGTGCTGGAGGCCATCTTGAGCTTGGGGCCCTTGGGCGGGACGCACATCTGCTCCAGACTGGCACCTGGGGGACCTCGCGGACTGTCCCACCGGGGCTGTCCCTCTGGAGTCCAGAGGTGCAGATGACAGGCTCAGGGGCCAGCCAGGAGGAGGAGGGTGCCGGGGGGCCTGGGGGGCGTGGGTCCAGTGGGGCCACTGCTGTGGGTGGGAGGGACGGGGTGAATCCATGGGCCCCGAGCAGACCGTGCTCTCCATTTTCTTCATTCTCAGGCAGCTGATGGCACAGGAGCCCCTGGAAAAACTGGGATTTGGAGATTTGCTTGATGGAAAAAAAGCAGAGGCAGAAACTAACTCTTGATGGGAAGAGGTCCATCCACCGGCTGCTGGGTAATTCAGGCTGGAGCATGTCCAGTGACTTCGTCACCTGACGATTTACGGTTAGTTGCTGTGATTTTGGAAGAAGCTTCTGGAACGCCCTCCTTGACGGAAACATCTCCTCTTGATGTTTCCCAGGGAAATGATTGTTCCCATTAGGTCTTGCCCCGCCCCCCAGGAGTGTTACATCGAGAGAGTCCTGGAGGCCTGTGGCGGGTAGGCGGGAAGGGGCAGAGTTACTCCCACTGCGTGAGGGGACATGTGGGCCTCCATGACGCGGGGAACCCGCTCTGTGATACCGTTTGTAGCTTTGTAGCACTGATGCACTGAGCGTGGCTACAGCCCGACACACCGGTGCTGTCAGAAAGCCACTTCCTGCCCAGAGCATTTCCTTTTGTGCTCTTATGTGCCTGTTTTTTAAATTTTTCTTTTGGAAATGAAATATAGAATATAAAGTTGGAAGTGAGAGATTGTTGGCTTTTGATGTATTTGACTCACTTTTTTCTGGTAGTGCCTGAAACACCAGTGTCTTTTCACCAGAGGCTCGTTTTCTGACCTGTGTGAGTTTACATAAAGTATTTAAGTTCAATGACTCCTTTATTATGACTCTGGAAAACAGGACGTCAGGACACTTGTTGTTTCACTTGCATGCGTGGTCTTCCACTGTATCCCTCTGAGAACACTCACACGCACACGCCGTGGGCCAGGCTCCCGGGGCCCATGAGCCCACGTCAGGGCAGCGGTCCTGTGGCGTCTGTCTCGCTGACCAGGCCTACGGCAGCAGCGTTCAGGCAGTTGCCAGATCGGCCAACGTCGGTTCAACGTTACACGCACCCAGGTGCCACACCAGGCCTCCCGGGTGGCTCCGACATGTGGCTGGGGCTCAGGTCTGTAAACAGGGAGCAGAGTGAGCAGGGGTCTGGGCCCAGCACTGCCCTCCCTGGCTCCCGGCCAGCCAGCTGGCTTTGTCCCCGTGTAGCTAATGGAACATGGCAGTCAGAGAATCCTGGGCACGTCCCTTCTCGGATGGTGACCTGGTGGGGACAGGCACCCGTGACCCGGGTCTGGGCTCCCTGAGGTCGCCACCACCCACCCCTTGGCCATGGCTGGTAGAGGAGTCTCTGCTGTAAGGTTTCTGTCTCTTGTCCTTCGACGTCAGGCGCCTTCTGCTTATAGCCTCCCTTAAGTGGGTCCCTTGCATGGCGAGTCCTCGTTCCCGGGGCCTGCTCCGCACCTTGTGGCCCTGTGGCCCGTGAGCGCCCCGGCTCCCTAGTGCAGTGTCCGCTGAGTACTGGGACTTGAGCTACCGGATTTTCTTGTCAGCAACTAGTTGACGAAGTGTTTCATCCGTCACCAACGCAGACTGAGCCACGGAGCCACCGAGCCAGCTTGTGTTTGCCAACGGGCGGAGTTACACCCATACAAGGTTATTTGCCATACGGGATGCTGACGCCGCCCAGATGCCCACACGGCAGAGCCTTTGCTGAACTGAGGCCTGCCTACCTGGCTTGGCGGCGCAGCAGGGGTGGGCGTGAGGTGTGCCCGACACGGGCAACTCCAGGGGAAAGGCCGCCTCCAGAAGCATCTACAGCAATGTTAACAAAAAAGACACGGGACACTAGAAGCATCTGCAAACATGAAATTGAGGAAGGAGAGACCAGACACTAAGAAGGGGCAGCAGTGTGTCATGTGGCTTGGGGTCTCAGCCGTCCTCCTGTCGTTCCGACGCAGAAATGGAGCCGCTGCCACGGCCCAACCAGCTGGCAGGCCGGGTTCCGAGCACGCACAGCGGGGGCACTGTGGGGGCCAGGACACAGGCTGTGTGGTCTGGGAGGTGGTTTGCCCACCCAGTGCTGAAACTGAGCCTGCACTGGCGAGCGGGGGGGCGGGGGGGATCACGGGCAGCAGGTGCACCCCTGCCCCACACCTTGGGCTCGAGCCCTGCTCCCAACAGTAGGAACCAGGCTCCCGGGGGACGGCAGATGCTGGGGCCAGAGCCCGAAAGTTCCCGCTGGTCCTGGCCCGTTCTGTGTCAGCAAGTGAGGGATTACTGGAAGAACAGTGGGGCACAGCCGTGCCACAGAGCCACCTCTGGGCCATTTTGAGCAGCAAAATACTGTAAAGGGTTGTGGTCCTCAGAATAAATTACTGTCCAGGAGTCTACGCTCGTAAACAATTAACGGAGGAGCACCTGGGGGGCTCAGTCGCTTGAGCATCCGACTCTTGGTTTCGCCTCAGGTCATGACCTTGGATTGTGGGATTGAGCCCCGTGCCGGGCCCTGCGGTGACAACATGGATTCTGATGGGATTGTCTCCTCGTTCTCTGCCCCTCCCTGGCTCCCTCGCTCCTTGTCAAAAATAAACATTAAAAATTTTTAATAATGGAATAAATGTGTCAGCAAGGGAAGGACAGCTCCTGTAGCACCAGTGGGAACAGCGTTCCCTCCATAGCTGCAAGGGGTGCAGAGAACCGCGGGGGCCCTCCCCTCAGAGTGCCCGCGCTTACAAAGGGTCAGTGTGTCAGTGTGGTCGCCAGGTGGCAACTTGCCCACAGCTGCTGCCCTGAGAAGGTGTGGTGACATCTGTCTAATGAGCAGACACCAAACTACACATTCTGCACTGAAGACCAGGCTGTTGAGGAGGCTCAGGGTCCCGAAGGACAGGAACTGAGGAGACTGACGGCCACGGGGCCTGTAGCAGCCAGAATGGTGGTGGGCATTCTGGGAGGCCTGGCACCTGCAGCGTGGTTACTGGGACGCTTGAGCTCCTGTTCTGTGGTTACGTAAGATGCTGTTGGGGGAAGCTGGACATCTGAACGCGTGTCTTGTTCTTGCAAATTTTGGGAAGTTCTAGGGGCCCCTGGGTGGCTCGGTCAGTCAAGTGACCGACTTCGGCTCAGGACACGATCTCACAGTTTGTAAGTTGAGTCCTGCATCGGGCTCTGTGCTGACAGCTCGGAGCCTAGAGCTCCTTTGGATTCTGTGTCTCCCCCTCTCACTGCCCCTCTACCACTCTCGCTCTTGTCTCTCTCAAAAATAAACATTTTTTTAAAGATTAAAAAATAAAGTTATTTCAAAATGAGAGTATCTTGCATCAGCTTCTGTGGAGGTGAACTGTGTGTCCACGTTTGAGTAAATTCTCGCTCTGAACCGCATTCAGTGGGTGATGGGGCATGAGTGGGTTTGGGCCGGAGAAGGGGGAGTGTGGGAGGAGCCGGCAGAGCTCCTTGGAGCAGCAGCAGTCGGCATTGCCTTTGACCTCCCAGGTCCGAGTCACCAGCTGCCTGGTGCGTGGGGCACAGATGTCCTGTCCGTTCCCAACGTGTGTCCACTCAAGCAAAGCCACCCACGCAGCGGTCGTCTGGTATTCAAAGGTGCCCACAGCTGACCTCCAGGACGTCTTCCAGGTATCCTTATGCAGGAGATGGGGAAGGCCTACCACCAAGGTCAGGCCTCAGCCCACAGCCACCCTCCCCAGAGACGACCCCCTCCCAGTCTGCCTCTCTCTGTCCCCTGGGGTGGGCGCGCTGGATGTGCCCACGGTCTCAGCCATGTAACCGTGTCCAGAAGCGCTCGGGGCACAGCCCTGGGGTCCTCCCTGCTCTGCTGGCCCTGTCCCTCCCACCGCCAAGAGTAAGACAGACTTTCCCCTTCACAAAGTGTCCTGTGCTCACTGAAATCACCACACACCCTGTGGTTTGAACACTCAGTTTTGTGGCCTGACAGCCTGCTGGTCAGAAGTGTAAATGGGCCACGTTTCTCCGGGGCTCTGGCGGGAGGCCGCTTCCTTGTCTTCTGGTGTCGAGAGGCGGTGTCGAGAGGCGGTGTCGAGAGGCGCTGGTACTCTGGGCCCGGGGACTGCCCTCCAGGGTCTGCTTCCCCCTTTCCTCTTCTCCCTGAGTCTGACCCCCCTGCCTCCTTACAGGGACCCTCCTGATGACTTACAGGGTCGCCTGTCAGCTCAGCACCCTTAGCCTGGTCACACCCGGAAAGTCTGATTCACAGGGTCTGGCCGGGACAGGGCATCGGACCTGGTGGGCCTTGGGGCCGAGTGGCGGGCTGGCGAGCAGCTCGCGGGCCCCTGCCCAGAGGCCGTGCTTTTCCACGGCTGTGGGGCTCTGTGTCCCCTGCCGTGACCCCATCACGGCTGGAACATGCTCAGGGCTGTTGAAATCCTGTATTTTTCTGAAATCACTATCATTGGGTTTGCAGCCAGTTCTCACTGGGGGCAACAGAGAATGCGTGTGTGCCTAATACACAGGATCAGGTCAGCACCGGCCTTTGCATGTGTGACGTGACCCCTGTTCCCATGAAGCACCTCTAGACATTCCCAGGGTTCTGTGGACGCAAGAGGAGTCCGGGATCCCGAATGGTGAGTGTTCACGACGCACGTACATGTGGCGCAATTGACTGGACGTACATGGCTTTCCTGCGTGTGTTTTTCTTTATGGCTGTATTTTGTAACAAGCACATATCATTTTTATAGAAACAGTCGTTAGTTTAAAACTCCTTGTATTTGGTTGTTATTTTATGTAACCTATAAATTGCTTGTTTGTGGTTGTAATTTTATATCATGCATGAATACAGCCCTGTTGATCTCACCTGGTAAAGCTGTGCTGGTTTTGGTTTGGGATACCGTTCCACGAGGCGCACAGGGCTGGCGAGGGCAGCCCTGATGTCCTCAGGGGTCACTTGAGGGAGTCTCTGAGGGGAGGTGCGGCAGTGTGCTCCGGTCTCCCCATAGGAAGCCGGGAACACCGGCCTCCTGCTCCTTCTGTCGGTGCTGCCTGCCTCCTGCTGGGCTCATCCGGGAACGCAGGTTTAGTACCTGGTGCCTGGACTCAGTCTTTGAGTGAGATCATTTACGGGCGAGAAGACAGAGATTGTATTACTGCAAGAGGCATTGGAGAACTTTCTATTAATCCACAGAAGTGACTCTCCTAGTTGCTGCGAGGAAAATTACGAATCTCCGGTCTTCTGGAAGAATGGAACCAAATCCACACCTGCTGTGCGCAGAGCTTTGCAGAGGGAAGGGATGCCTCCCGGGAAGAAGGGGCCAGGCGTGGCAGCATGGGTTGCTCATACGTCTGGGCTGTCACGGCCCTCCTGCTGGTGGCCTGGAAGGATGTCATCCACCAGCTTTCATTAGGGGACACAGCATGTGACTGTACCCGCCGCGCTCCCCGGGGCATCCCAAGGTGCTAGGAAGCCCGGACCACTGTTGTTGGGGGTTTGGCGGCACTTGGGAAGGTGGCGCCTGGGTTGCTCCTGGGCTGCTGCTGTGGTACTGCCCTTCTTGTTTTTGGCAATGTTTATTTATTTAATTTGAGAGAGAGAACAAGCAGGGACCGGGAGCAGAGACAGAGGGAGACAGAGAATCCCAAGCAAGCTCCTCACTGTCAGCACAGAGCCTGACTTAGGGCTCGAACTCACAGGCTGTGAGATCATGACCTGAGCCAAATTCAGTCACTTAACTGACAAGCCACTCAGATGCCCGTTATTTAATTTTTAAGTGTATTTATTTGTGGGGCACCTCGGTGGTTCAGTCGGCTAGGCGTCCGACTTCGGCTCAGGTCATGATCTCACGGTTCATGGGTTTGAGCCCCGCATTGGGCTCTGTGCTGACAGCTCAGAGCCTGGAGACTGCTTCAGATTCTGTGTCTCCCTCTCTCTCTGACCCTCCCCTGCTCACTCTGTCTCTCTCTTTGTCTCTCAGAAATTTATAAAAAAAACTTAAAAAAATTTTTTTAAAAAGTTTGTCTTCGAGGGAGAGTGAGAGAAAGAGAGACAGTGTGAGTGGGGCAGGGGTGGAGAGGAAGAGAATCCCAGGTAGGATCCATACTGTCAGCACAGAGCCTGACGTGGGGCTTGAACTCATGAACTACGAGATTATGACCTGAGCTAAAATCAAGAGTCAGACGCTCAACCTACTGAGCCCCCCAGGCGCCCCTGTGGTATTGCTTTAAAACACCCCTTCACTGGCGCATGTGGAGGGCAGGTCCAGGGATGTTAAGGTCAAGGTGGGACAGGTTCTTCCTGATGCTGGACCATCAGGACCCAGAGCCATGAAGGCAGACAGGGTGGGCCCAGCTTGCGTTTGGGCCACTGTAAAGCCATGCTGACTTCTTAACCAGAACAGCAGACCTCCGGGCTCTCATCCCCTCCCCATTGAGGACCCTTCAGCTTCCTGTCGACTGGCTCTTTCTTCTTCCTGGGACAGGCCTGCCTCCCTGGGCCTGCCTGACCCTCTTTTCCAGTGTCCTGCTGTCAGGACTGGCCTGTCCCCCTGCGTGCTGTGCCCACACCCTGTCCTGGGCCTGCAGGGGACGGACAGCTCCGGCTCCGTGTGGGCCCCTGGGCGGCACAGGCGAGGTGCTGTGTGGCCTGGGACTGCAGTCATCTCCAGGGGCCGCCCCATCAGGTGGGGGCCGGAGGCCAGAGGGAGCCCTGCAGGCCCCACTGGGCAGGCAAGGAGTTCAGAGCCTGGGTAGGATAGTTGGGGCCCGGCCGGCTGGCAGCAGGCCCCACACAGGACCCAATGGCTACCCTTAGACAGATGCGCGCCCAGGCGGGAGCTGGAATCTGCGCTCCGAGCTGAGGGACTGGTGCGGGCCCTGTAGCTCTGATCGATGGTCACCAGGGTGGCTGGGGCCAGGGAGCCTTCCCCTGGAAGAGGGAGCGCACCAGCCCCTTCTTAGGAGCCCCTTGGTCATGGCTCAGGCGCTTATGTTCTCGCGTCGCGCGGACCGTTCAGTCCCCGGCCTGGGGCCCTCCCCTCCCCCTGGTGGACACCCCTGAATCTTCCAGGCGAGACCTGCGTCCCTGAGGCGGGTGGCAGGCTGGGGAGAGGTGGGTGCCGCCCAGTGAGGACGTGGGAGCAGGTGACTGGGTGCTGCCTGCAGACACTGCAGCAGGGGAGATGAGGCTGCCTGCCATGCCCCGGAAAACAAGGCCACTGCAAAGTAAGTCCTCTTGCCAGTTTGGTTCCTTTTTTTTTTTTAATTAATTACTTAATTTATTTATTTATTAGAGAGAGAGACAGCGTGAGCAGGGGAGGGTCAGAGAGAGAGGGAGACACAGAATCTGAAGTGGGCTCTAGGCTGTGAGCTAGCTGTCAGCACAGAGCCCAACGCGAGGCTTGAACCCACGAACCGTGAGATCGTGACCTCAGCCGAAGTCAGACGCCTAACCAACTGAGCCACCCAGGCGCCCCCATTTTTTTTGTTTGGTTCCGTTTTAAAAGAATTTTTTATTGGGATATAAGTCACATACCATAAATTCACTTTTGAAAGAGTATAATTCACAAAGTACTGGAATTTTTTCTTTAAGTAAGCTCCATGCCCAACATGGGGCTAGAACTCATGACCCTGAGGCCAAGAGGTCCACACTTCCCGACTGAGCCAGCCAGGCGCCCCATTGCCTGCTTGGTTTCCCATCATCTGCCCTTCTTCTCCCTGAAGTAGGAAGGCAGCCAACAATCTCTGTGGATTTACCACTGAGCCCTGGAGGGAGGGCTGCAGGGGTGAGGGCAGGAGAGCACCTTGTTCCTGAGTCTGCCCCCAGTTCCAGGCTGTCTTGGGGTTTGGACCAGCCTCTCTCTTGCCCTCAGTCCAGTGAAACCCCAGAGTGGTGTGACCACTTCAAACTGTGGCACACATTCTGCACCCCCTCGGCCATGGGAGTGGGGTGGGTGTCTGTCCCCTCCCCTCAATCTGGGACCTTTAGGGGCTGCTGAGCTCTGAGGAAGCCCAAGTGCATCCCAATGGGGAACCCATGCAGAGAAGTCAGGGGGCAGGAAGAGGGGTGCATGCCCGTGGCCCCCATTGCTAGAGCTGCACCTGAAATCTTGGGAGCCCGGAGCCTGGTGGTGCTGTCTCAGCCACAGTGTGTGCTGGACGGGTCAC